CTATTATAGTATGATCATATAATTAATATAACATTACATAATTAAATGATTACTTAATTGATTATGACATTATATTATAAACATTAGTAATTAATTTATTAATTTATACAATACTTAATTAAATGATTAGAATTTTATTAATTATAACATTACATTATAAATTTATGGTATGATTACTTAATTAATTATAACATTCTATTATTAACAATATTACAATACTTAATTAAATGATTAACAATTTAATTAATTATAATACATTATAATTAAACCCTAAACCCAAATAGTATATTTGTTAGGGGTGTATTTGTAAACTTTTAAGGTATTTTTGTCATTTTTTAAACTAATAGGGGCATAATTGATTTTTTATAGGGTACCCCGGAAAGGAACCGAAATCTGCATTTTAGGTTCTGGTTCCTTGAATTGAAGAACCTGCACTGTGCGGTTCCTTTTTTTGGAAACCTGCACTATGCGATTCCGATTCTGGTTCCCCCGAAAAATGGAGGGTACCTGGAATTGTTCACCCTATATATATGTTTTGATGCAATATTTTGAACATCTTTTTGTAAAACATGTTTATCAGTTTGACAATCAATACGAAGTAGAAATTTTTGATTGAGTAAATCACTTTGAAATTTAGAAATGCATAGGACAATGGATAAAAACTCTTTTTCGATAGTGGAGTATTTTCGTTGAGTTTCATTCCAAAATTTGGAAGTAAATTAGATAACTTTTCTTTGTTATCTTGTACTTGTTTGAGAATACCTCCATATCCTAAATCTGAGGCATCTGTTTCAACTATTTTGAAGGCTAATGGGTCTGCTAAATTCAAATAGGGCGAATGGGTGATTTGGGTTTTAATCTGTCGGATTATGTTAGTGTGTTGGCTTGTCCACGGTGTTGGATTCTTTATATATATTTTTTTTGTTGTATCATTTTAGATCTTTAGTTATAACATATAGCTTTGCCGGTGTAATATACTCCATATGATGATGATGATGATTAATATGTTTTTTTAGCATTTAATTGTTTATCTAACAGGAATGTGAATGAAGTATATTGTACACTAATTCTGATTGATTCATTTATTTTTGTTTAAGAATTATTATTGTAAAGTTTATTTTTTAGTGGTATACGAGTCACCCACCTGGCTTCATTAATTAGTTGCCTAATAGGAATTGAGCATGATTGGAATTATGTTGATGAATTAGTAGCTGAACAAATTAATTAAGATTTTGATGTACAAGTGATCGCAGGATGATTGGATTTCCGTAAATCAATTGAACTGTGAGATTTTAAGATATCAATAAAATACTAGACAACATGGATGTTGTTGGGGGAGCTTCTACAAATTGGAAAGGCGACTTCTGTTTACAGTTTTTTTTTTTTTTTTTTTTAACACAAATTTACCATTATTTAAGTGGCATGTACAACTTAGTGGACAACTAAATGGGCTCAAATAGTCACTATTAGATGGCTTGCTCGTAAAAGAGCAAAATGAGATTGCATGAGCTCAACGTTAATAGGGTGGCCATTGGGGCTCTTACTCGGATGACAGTTCTAAAGTCTTGAAAGATTAGTTGAGGTGCATGCAAGCTGACCTAGACGCCTTTGGTGATTAAACAAAAAGAGCTCAAATAATGACACGTATTTCGAAATCTGGTTTCAAATAAATGATGGCCCAAGGTTATTTCACATTAATATAGAGTTTGCAGTGTTGAGAAAATGTATTTATCGTTGAAAACATCCATGAAGCTAATTTAACAATATAATTTTATCTCTGTGAATTGATTTGAGTCGAAGAATTAGATGTTACATGCAAATCCATCAGTCGTATTACATTTAATTGTGAATAGCACTAGTCATAATTTTTAGTACGAGAGTTCTTATAAGATCATCTGGTATGTTATGAATCATTCTAGAGGATGACTTTAAAATATCTACCATTTTCCCCTAATTAATTAAATATTTGAGACCTTAACTCACTACAAGGAAAATGGCATTTGGCGTCTATCAAAAATAGATGCTAATAGTCAAATTTAGACGCTAATTGTTTATCGTGTCTAAAATTCCTAGTTGCCGGCTAGTTGCAAAATCGTTGTTGGAAAAAGTATCCGTAAATAAAATCATGGTTAGATGCCAAAATTTTTTCTTTAGCGACTAGCAATTTAGTTACTAATTGCCTCAAAAAATAGTCCCCTAAATTAGAAGCCAAATGAATAAGGATAATTTGGTAAAATTGTATCACAACTATTGATTTAGTCGCAGAATGTAGCTTTTAGTAACTAAAAAATGGATAATAATTCTTAATAAAATAGACGTCGAATGCTTAAGGGTAATTTGATAAAAACATTTTGCAATTACTTTTTCAGTTGCAAAATGCCTCTCTTAGTGACTAAAACTTCAATTGTAATTGCCAAAAAAATTTAGTTGGTGAATGTTGAAAGGAAATATGGTAATTTCCTTTCGACACCCATTAAATTAGTTGCAAAAAGCATGTTTTAATAACTAAACTATCAATGGCAAAAGCGGCTTAATTTTAGTTGTTAGAAGTGTTTGACCAATTTGCTTTGTTTGATTTCGCAACTAATCATTTGGTTATTTTTCTACATCTAAGTGGTATAGTTGCCCATAGTATATGAGATTTGGAAACCAATTTTTGTAGTCAGTAATAATTGATTAGTCCAAGATTGTTTATTATTTCTGCGACTAAAACTTTAGTGGCAAATATGATTACATTTAAGAGCAATGTTGTTGCTCCTTGTAATTCACTTGGTGAACACATTGAACATCAACAAAATAAGAGAGACAATACAAAAATATGGATCAACAACATCAATTATCTTCATTGCATATAAAGTCAATAGTCCATACATGGATTTTTTAGCAACATGAGCAATAAAAATAAAAAAATGCATTATCATGTGTGGATAACCAAAAACAAAAATGCATAACCCAATCAGTCCGGTCACCTTTTGGAGCTTTACCTCGGTGGAAAGCCAAAGTCTTTATCATCCCCACAGCTTCACTATTTTAGTGAACATGCCTATCCTTCCCTGTGGTCTTCCAATACCCAAAGTCAGTAGCACAATTCATTCTAACAAGTCTACAGAAACACAGCAACAGAAGTTCATTTCAAATAATTGAAAATAGAAACCTAGAGGAATTTCATTTCTAACAAGTCTACAGAAGCTCAATTACATAGCAACACTATTTGCAATAAGCAATTAGATTTTGGTTTGCTGCCTAGATCCCACGTTACAGAATTATAAAGACATTCAAGCAGTAGAAAACATCGAAACAAAACATATGTCATAACCATTATATTAGAAAAAAAAAAAAAAAAAAAAATTATTTCATTTAAATTTCAAGAAGTTATCAAAGTAGATTTCACAATTAACATGCGACATGCATGAATCATGAGGAAAATATTTAAAATGAAAGAGCACTTATTAAAGTAGTTGAAATTGGGCAAACTTTCACGCATTTCATCAAGCAACCATCTGCACATGTTAAGTCATAAAAATATCAATTACCACTAGAAGTTTCAGAAAATGTGAAAACCACTTTAATAGATGCATACAGAGTGACCTATCCAGGTATATACAAAAAATGAAGGAGCATCCAAATATTATAGTTATTTTTGGTGCAAATAAATGCTTTATCAATGATTGGAAGATGGAGGGATAATTAACAAGCACATGAACCATACAGAAACATACCTATAGTCAATAGAAGGAAAAAACTTATGAGAGGTATATCTAGAGCTGGTCAAGCACAAGTCCCAAGCAGGCCCGGGCCTAGGACCCTTTGGGACTAGTCCTTTTGGGACTGATCCTAAATGGAACCAGTCGCTCATGGGCTTGGGACCAATCCTGGGCCCATGAGCAATTTTAGGACCCGGACCAGTCCTTAGAACTAGTCCTATGGGCCCAGGACCGGTTCTATGGGCCTAGAAAATTTATTTTTCCTCCCTGATCTTTTTTTATATTTTAGGGGCGAAACAAAATTTTGTAGGGGGTTTTTAGTATTTTTCAGGGGTAGATTAATAAGTTTCTAAAAGTTTAATTAATTTTAAAAAATAATAAAATAATAAATAAATTAATAGTTAATTTTAACATAAATATAATATTCACATTTCACACATTCACACTTCATAAATAAACAATTAAATAATTTTTTTTATTAAATTATTCATATTCATCGTCAACAATATTTACATCATTCAAATCTGTATTCCTAAAGAGTTCGAGATCTTTAGGGTGCTGTTGTAGTCTTCTTTCTGCATAAGTCAAATCCCATAAACATGTTATCACTTCAATCATCTCATCGATTAAAAAACATCTTCTGTCTTCAACAATCCGACCACTTGTTGAAAATGTTGACTCGGTTGCAATTGTAGAAACCGACACAGATAAACTGTCACCTGCCATTTGGGCTACAATGGAAAATCGACTTTCATGTTGGTTCCACCATTGAAAAATATTCATATCACGTTTTCCCTTTATCGTCATAAAGGACAAGTCCACTTATAGATAACGATTCAGCTTATTTGGTCTATGTATATATAAACTGGAGTTGCTACTTTCTTCATGTTTCATATATGTCCACTTACTCGATCCTTTACTAACATCTTTTATTTATTTAGATAAAAATACTTTTGGAATCTATGATACTAAAGAGATTCACCAACAAACATGGATTACTTATTTCTTAAATAATCACTCAAAATTTGTTTGGTAAACATATTTCAAGAGTGATTATAAAGTAATCTACTTCTTTTATAATCTAAATGAATCCAAAAGCGTGTATATTTTTAGTTTTTAGATTTTAAAGTCAGCTTTTAGAATATTCAATACCAAAATGCCCCAAGATTACACATAAATTCTATCTTTTTATGAATAAATTTTATTAAAATTTATTCATAAAAAATATTAAAATATATAAATATGAATTAAATTAAAAAATTATATTTAAAAAATCTGAAAAATTTGCCGACGGTGTCATTGTTCAACAGTTGTCACTGGCAATAAGCATTTGTTGCTAGAAGCGTGTTTGATGACACCCTCAACACTATCAAGATTGCCAAAAGGAGATCTACACAACCATATCAGAATATCAATCGTCAAACACATCTTTTGTGCATAAGAGACCGACTTAGTTTAACCGAAACTTTTAAAAAATTATAAGCAATCCTAAATTAAGCATAAGTGAATGAAGATCATCCCAAGTGAAGACAAAACATATTCTTTAGAAAAAGAAACAAGTAAGAAGAGGAAGTTGGCCAACCAAAGAAAAGCTCAACACAAACAAACGTGTACCGGTGTATATATCCTTCAGCCTAACAAAAATTAAATAAATAAATAAAATTTGTTGTCCCAAAGTTTTTATATCAATTAAATAAATATAATATATTATATGATCACAAGTTCTCGTTAAATGGGTATATTATTCTTTAAAATAACATAAACAAATGGTATGAAGTATGAACTACTTCCCAGGCAAGTAAATTTTATAAAAAAAAATTTTAACCCCTATAATTTATGTTTATTTCAAAATTTATAAGAGGTTTTACGTAATTATATAAGGGATTAAAACGAAAATGTTTAAAAAAATTTAGGTCAGGCCCAAGCCTCGGAGGAGGGCCCAGTCCCTCTTAGGTCTGGCCTCGTTTTGGCACCAGGTCTCCTAGGACCTGGTTTTTGAGCTGGGTTTTTTGACCTAGTCCCAAATGTCCACCTCTTGGTATATCTGATACGTAAACTTGTTGAACCGTACAGAAACATACCAGATTCATGAAAAAATGTGCATCCTTGGTAGAGAAACCCAAGTTGGACAAATAGTAGGAACAAGAGACAATGTGGACGATGGTCCAGAGCACACAATTAGTTTTATATCTGATTGGTAAACTTGTTGAACATGTAAAATTCTGTGATCATTTTAACATCATACCATAATATATACTTCAACAGTTCATGTACAATGATACGAAATAGGATTCTAAACTAATAATGTCATTTAACTTTTGATTTAAGAGAAAAAAAAAAAAAAAAAAAGGTTATTCTCTACAAGCTACCACTAGTATAGGAAATTTGCAGGAAAGAACTCATCACCTTTGCAAAAATCAGTAGCAACATCGATAGCTATCTTTATCTTCTCACCATACCCTGTTCTACTGATAGCCTCTTTAATAAAATCCAATCATTCTTTCACGCTGCCAACAGGAATTGGACATAATTAGAAAACGAACAACCCTCTAATCAAAATTTACTAGTATTATGCATGACTTTATATGTCGAATTTAAAACTTAAACAGCCATAAATAATACGAAAGTAAGAAGGAAACCAAAGAACAAATATACTTTGCATGTGAGTGGAAGGCAATAAGAAGATTAAGAAACTTACTCCCATTGTAGTGGTGAACCCCAACTTTAGCCAACATCACATAATACTCTATCTCATACTTCCGAAAAGGAGGGTGATTGTTGGTAACGATAACCAGCTTCGCTGCAACCCAAAAAAGAAAAAGGAAAAAAAAATGGTTCATTTAACAAATCCGCAAGAAATGAAATATTCCCATAACAAAGACTAGATCCAGTCAGAACCCAATAATTTCTAAGTTCTCATGAAAAAAGGGTCACAAGTTCACAACCTAACAACTAAAACACAATTATTTTACTGGGTCCACAGCTAAGAGTCATTTTAGTTCATAAAAGAAGCTAAAAAATACAGAGATAATATAATCATCAATACATGAAATAAAATGAAAAACAAAGTTAATGGGTTAGGTTACCTTTGGAGCTTCTTAGGGTGTGAAGCACAGTTTTGTAATCCAAAGTGTAATTGCCACTCTTCATGACAAGAGCAAGCCTGTTGTTGATGCTCTCATGGGACTTCTTCTACAAGAGTTAGCCATAATCAACTTATTTCTCTTCTTTAATTAAGATTGAAAATGAATAAAGTAGATAATAAAGAAGAGAGACAGAGAAGGAGATGAGTTACAATCTTCTTGGCGGCCACCATTATGTTAAGGCACTAGGGTTCTCACAAAACAGATTCAAAGAAAAGCGAAGAGTTGTCTCAATGAATTTCCCTATAATTTCCCTAACTCCAAAATCTTAACATTCAATCAAAACGATTAAATTGAACACCAAAATCAACCGAATTTTAATTAAATCGACGAATTTTCTCCCATTACGATCTCTAAATTTAAAAAGAAAAGAATGAGAAAGAGGCGAACGAACCAGAATGCAAAGAGGTAGAGAAGCAGAGGGAAATTGATCGTGAAGAAGAGAATTGATCTTGGAGACGGAATCTTCAAACATTTGTTTCTCTCCGAGCTATTTTTGCAATTCTCCCAATTGTTTCTGAGAATTAATCAGATTAGGGAGTTGGATCCGAAGGATCGAGGAGAGTCGGATCCATCGAAGTCGAAGGATTTCTTGGAAGAGAAGAAGAGTTTGTTCTTGAACACCATTGTTTCGGTTAATTAGAGAGTGATTTTAAGCAGCCCTAGCATGTTAGAGATGTCGGGCTGCAGCTGGGCATTTGGGACCGGGCCCAAAAAGCCCTGCATCAAAACCCGGTCTTAGTACCGGTCCTAAGAGGCCTGATCCCGAAAAGGAAGAGAGTTTGGGCCCTCCTCCAAGGCCCGGGCCTGGGCCCGGTCCCAGGCCTGGGCCCAAAGTTTTTTTACACTTTATCATTTTAATCCTTTGTAAAATTTAATTCAACCCCTTAAATAAGTATAAATCATAAGGGCTAAAAAAATTTTTACAAAATTTATTAAAAAAAAAAAAGGTTACAGCCAACGGTTATAAACTAAATAATTATAAATTTTTTTTTCATTTTCCCCCCCACAACTATACTATAAGTAACCCTAAAACCTTTCATTTTATTCACACCTGTCAATCTCTCATTCTTTCATTCTCTCAATCTCTCTACTCCAAATCTCCAATCAATTTCTCATTCAATTTATATTTATAATTTATTCATATTATTTATTTATATTATTCAAATTTTTTTCTATTTTTCAACATCATTATAATTTCATATTATAATTTCATATTATAATTTAATTTCTTTTCATTTTAATTATTTATTATTTTATCATAAATTTATAATGTCTTCCCCAAATGAGTTTTACGTTCCATCCACCGAAGAAATTGAAGCCTTCAATCCATTTTCATCATTTCCTCTAGAGGAAGCAGCTGTAATTCCACAACCACATTCGGTGGGACGAGGTGTAGCCAAACACATGCGAGTTGCGAGTCAACGGGTACAGACATAGCCCAACCCCCCCAACCGTCAAAGAGGGTTGTGTCCGATGTCTGGCGTGAATGTGTGAAATGTGAAATTACATTTATGTTAAAAATTAAAATTAACTATTATTTATTATTTTTTAAAATTAATTAAATTTTTAGAACTTACTAATCAACCCTAAAAAATACTAAAAACCCCCTATAAAATTTCGTTTGCCCCAAAATATAAAAAAAATTAAGGAGGGAAAATAAATATCCAAACCCCATGGGACCGGTCCTGGGCCCATGGGACCAGTCCCGACTAGGCCTAAGGCCTGGTTCGGGTCTTGGTTTTTCTCAGGGCTTGGGACCAGTCCCAAACGGGCCCAGGCCTGGGCCGCAAGGGACCGGTCCCTTGCCCAGCTCTAGGGCTACCGAAAGAAACATTGAAGAAGGCACAAAGAAGAAAGGGAAATTTTTGAAAAATGGGTGTGAAATTAAGAAATTTTGCCTTAATGAAATTTTGGGGGGGGGGGGGGGGGGGGGGTGGGGGGGGTAGGGGGTGGCAAGGGGGAATTGGCAGCGAAACTTTTGATGGGCGGGAAATTTTGCCTTAGTGAAATTTTTAATTTTTTGTTTTTTTAATATAATCCTTAACAATTTTAACTATCAACAATTGAGACTGCAACTGTCAAGAAAAAAACTCGTATACATATACGTGTGTGTGTATATATATTGTAGATGCAAAAAATCTACCGTCATGAAAATAGGGTATGATCTCGTGAGGTTGAGGCCACTGACAATCCGCTAGACCTGCACACATGAAAGGGCAAACGTGAAGCTTCCGGAAAACACTAAGGTGGTGTTTGCCGTAAGCACTCCGACGCTCAAGTCAGCAAGGCTGAAAGAGATTATTTGATAAAAATTAAGGAGATGAAGAATTACCAGGAGTCCTGTCGGAAGCGAGGACTACGGTGGAGACGTCGGGTTCTTGGGAGCAAGAACTTAGGAGCAAATAAATGGTTTTGAGTAGTATAGATTGATTGTGGGAGATTGCATGCCTAATGAGAGTGCAAGCCTCTGTTTTTATAGTGAACCCAAGGGGTTGGAATCTTAGTAGAACACTAAGTCCTATTTTGGGAGATAATCCCTATCCTCAAAGAGATATGATTTATTGACCTTATCAGATTAAGTTTAATAGTTTAAATAAGGTTTGGAATCTTAGTAGGACACTAAGTCCTATTTTAGGAGATAATCCCTATCATGAAAGAGATATGATTTATTGACCTTATCAGATCAAGTTTAATAATTTGAGTAAGATTTGGAATCTTAGTAGAAGAGGAAATATAATGAGATTCTAATTTCCTATTTTTAGATTGTTGTAGGCTAATAGGCTGAAACCCAGTTTAGCTTAACTTATAAGATAACCCAACTCATAGAGTAGGTAGTTCACAATGTGATTTTAAGCATAGGCCCAATCAGGATTGGGTTGAGGCCTTGGGTCATGACATGTTTATTTCGTTATTGGGCCTTGTCAAACCCAAGACGATTTTTGGCCCTAACATATATATATATATATATATTTTATCAACTCATTCTGTCAAGGAAATGGTTTTTTCTAGTAGTGACATATTACAAATAGAACAATTATTTAAAAAAAGAGTCATGAAACAAAGAAAACCCATTAAAGCTTTCCTCTTTGAATCACACTCAAATCAAAACCCAAATAAAAAAGAGATCGAAAGAACAAACCCACAAAACAGTTTTAAAAAAAAATGCCTAGAAGATACACAAAAATAAATGTATAGAAAATAAAATCAAAAATCTAAAGAACAAGAAGGTGAATAAAAATGCAAACCTTAGTTGGAGAAATCGATGAATATGAAACCTTCTCGAACGAGTATCCATAAAACAGAAAACTTAAATACCCAATTGAGAAAATAAATAGATATTATTAAATACCATTCGTTTATCAACAATAATAAACAAATTTAAAGCATCCATTACAATTATAATAGCCATTGCAATGTCAGATAAAAGAGAAGATAAAAGTAAAATCACCCATTACGAAGTTAAAACCACCCATTTAGGAATGTCACAAACAACAGATGCTTAAACAAATTAAAACAAATGTTATGAAGAAACGGATTGAAAATCAAACAATAAAATCGAAATACCATATGTAAAAGAATGAGTTTTAACATAAAAATAAAAAGAAGTCACCTTCAATGGAGTAATGTAGGTGGCAAAAGTAGAATCGAGGAAATGGTAAAGTGAAGAGGGAAATTGGATACAGAGGAGTGCGTGGAGAAGAAGAGGACTCGGGTAAGAATAGGGAAATTTGGGTATTAGGGATTTGGTTTTAAGTTTGGGTTTATATAGGATGGGCTTTTAGTAATTGTTTCTAAAAAAAATAGGTATTTATTTATTTGATTAGTTCTTTGTAACAACCAATTTTAGTCACCATTTGTAACTTTCATGTTTGGTAAACCATCAATTGCAACTAATATTTTAGCAGTTGCCAAAAAAAAAAAAAAATTGCAACTAATGTTGTAGTTGTCATTGTCAAGTTTCTGATATCTTAACTTTTTGTAACTAATTGATTTTGGTTACTAGTAGTGTATATCATTTTTAATAAACAATATTTAGTGGCTAACATTTTGGTTGCGAAAAAATCATATTAACAACTATAACTTTAGTTGCCAAAATAACATACCCAAAATTTCAATTTATTTCAAACGGGAACATGGGGGCCCAAACTCACAGAATTTACCATTTATTTGGCAACTAAAATCTTAGTTGCCAAAAGACGATAATTTGCAACTAACTATTTAGTTATGTAATAATAATTTTAGTCACAACTTAAAATATTATTTTTTTCATTTTACTGGGAAAGTGGAGCCCAAAAAAATTCATCAACTTTTAGCAACTAAATACATTTTAGTTGCTATACATGAGTTTTTGCAACTATTGTAATATGCACAAAATAATTAGTTGCCAAATGTATCTTGAGCCCTCTGTAATTATTGTCAGAAGCTTGGATATTTCAGTAATTGCATTATTTTGTAACTAATAAAAATAGTTACAAATTAATTAATAAATATTTACATCTAATTTAGCAACTATTAAGTAGTTACAAATAATTGTTTTCTGTAACCATAATTTTAGTTGCTGAATTTCTTGTTGTAATTGCTAATTGTGTTGTAATACTAGGAAAATTTACTGCATAAAAATTGACTACCAAATAAATTAGTCGCTAATTTGATATTTTTGATAAATTAGCGGTAGAATGTTAATTTTAGACTCTAAAGGTGAGAATAAATGGGCACCAAAATTTTATTCTCCTCTAGCCGATCAATTGGAATTTAGTTACTAAATATGAAGTATCTATAACTATTTTTGCCTAGTTGCAAAAAAATTAAAATTGGTTGCAAAAAGTACTTTTTCTTACTGTGACTTCTCCTTCTATATTCTAACCAGGTGACGTACCATTGACAAATATTGATTCTTGCACTCACAAATTACTTTATATTATCTTATATTTACTTGCGTTGGTAGAAAAATAAAAATCGATAGCTTAACTACTAATGGAAAGTTATACATAAATTATATTATTTGAGTGACCTTCTTCAAGCAGCATATATTCCATTTTCTGTTGTTTTGGATTTTGCCTTTGACCTCGAGGACGCCCACGGATTCAAAACAATAGGAAAGACAAAAGCGACGTAGGTGCTGAGAGTGGTAGTGAGTATTAAATTCACATGTCAATTAATTGACAACATCAATTCCAAAAAGGCCCAAAATGGTCCCCGTATGACAGCTGAGAGGGGGAAAGCATATCTGATATCGTCATCGCTTTAGTGCCTTCTTCTCTACGACTCTCCACCAAAAGTCTCTGTTTTCTACAGTTCGATACGAATGAAAGTTTACCCTAATGTATAATAAATAACTAAGCAGTAATCCGACGGCATTCATGTGTATGGTTGATGGTTAAGAGGCGCATGAACTTTTCATTCTTATATTATATGTGTAAGAAGAGCATGGTTTAAGAAATTGCTTTGCTTTGCCTAGCCATGTTTTTCAAATTTGCAATAGTGGTGTCTTCCTTAATCGGGTTAGTAGCAGCAGATGAAAATCTTGGTTTCATCTACAATGGTTTCAGATCGGCTAATTTGAGCCTCCATGGTACAGCTAAGTTCACCGACGAAGGACTTTTACAGCTTACCAACGAAACCCAAAGAATAAAGGGTCAAGCCTTCTACCCTAATCCAATATCCTTCAAGACCTCAACAAATGCCACGGCTTTCTCTTTTTCTACAATTTTTGTTTTAGGTATCCAGTCTCAAGTTGATGTTCTTAGTGGCCAGGGTATGGCTTTCGTGATTGCACCAACACTAGGGCTCCCTTTCGCTCTTAACAGTCAATACCTCGGCCTTTTTAACGATAGCAATAATGGAAATGCCAGTAATCATGTTTTTGCCATAGAGTTCGATACGGTGCAGAATGCCGAGTTTGCTGATATTGATAATAACCATGTAGGGATTGATATTAATAGTTTGAAATCTGAGATATCAGCTCCAGCTGGTTATTATGACAATCAAACCGGTGAATTTAAGAACTTGACGCTCATTGATCGTCAAAGAATTCAAGTTTGGGTGGAATATGATGGTGAGGAGAAGCAAATTAACGTTACTTTAGCTCCATTTAACAGTGGTAAGCCCAGTAATCCACTTCTGTCTTTGTCGAGGGATCTTTCATTAATTTTTAACGAAAACATGTTCGTTGGCTTCTCATCGTCCACCGGTTTGTTGTTATCATCTCATTATGTTTTGGGTTGGAGTTTCAAAATGAATGGACAAGCAGAGGAACTTGCACTCTCTCAGATTCCTAAGCTTCCCCGAATTGGTCCCAAACCGAAATCAAAGTTTTTGACAATTGGGCTCCCTGTAATTTTTGTAAGCTTGACTTTAGCTGCAGTGTCAGGTGTGGTTTATGTGATAAGAAGGAAAAGAAAGTTCGCTGAAGTGCTTGAAGATTGGGAGCTTGAATATGGGCCTCATAGATTCAAATACAAAGATCTTTATTTCGCCACCAAAGGATTTAGAGAAACAGAGCTATTAGGTAGTGGTGGATTTGGCAGGGTGTACAGAGGTGTACTACCCAACTCTAAACTAGAAATTGCAGTGAAGAGAGTCTCTCATGAATCAAGACAAGGAATGAGAGAATTTGTTGCTGAAATTGTTAGTATTGGTCATCTCCGCCACCGGAATTTAGTACAACTCTGGGGTTATTGCCGGCGTAAAGGAGAGCTGCTTTTGGTGTATGACTACATGCCTAATGGAAGCCTGGACAAGTACATCTATGGCCAACAAAAGGTGACCCTGAATTGGAAACAAAGATTTCAAGTAATCAAAGGCGTAGCCTTGGGCCTATTTTATCTACACGAAGAATGGGAAAAAGTTGTTATTCACAGAGACGTCAAGGCTAGTAATGTGTTACTTGATGCTGAACTGAATGGAAGGCTGGGTGATTTTGGGCTTGCAAGATTGTATGACCACGGAACTGATCCACAAACAACTCATGTGGTTGGTACTGTTGGCTACCTCGCCCCAGAGCACGCTCGAACAGGGAAGGCCACTAGAAATACTGATGTATTTGCTTTTGGTGCCTTTCTGCTCGAAGTTGCCTGTGGCAGAAGGCCAATAGAGCCACATTCGCCGACAGAGGAGACAGTGATTTTGGTTGAATGGGTATTTGGTTTTTGGAGTGAAGGTAAAATTATTGAGGCAAGGGATCCGAAATTGGGAACAGATTATGTCGCGGAGGAGCTAGAGTTAGTGTTGAAACTTGGGTTGATGTGCTCTCATTCAGAGCCCGCAGCTAGGCCAAGCATGCGACAAGTTGTGCAGTACTTGGAGAAGGATGCTCCTTCGCCAGAGTTATCAGCTCTAGAAATTTCAGACAGTGGCCTAAGATTTGCGCATTCGGAAGGTTTTGATGACTTTGTAGGCTCGTCTCCATCTTTAATGGGCAGAACAGCATCGACTTCTATTGCAGATTCAATACTTTCAGGTGGCAGATAAGATTGCAACGTCAAATTATTGGAGATATAATATGAATATAATGATGTTTTGCTGTATTATTCTTTGTAATATATTCTCAGTTTCAGTTGTAGCCGTGCTGGTGTAATATAAATAATAATAATATTGTAGCATGCATGAATTAATGACCGGAAATTGTCATTCAAATGGGTACATAGCCAAGAAATAATGTATTTAAATGAGGCAGATTTAACTATTTTGAAGATAAAAAAATAATTGAATAAAAATTCTGGCTACTTGCTAGTTACCATATTGTAAATTTAGTTTCAATAGTGTGGAGGAAGATTTTGTTATAATGCAGAATTATTTTATATAGTGAAAAGTGTTCTGAATAAGAATAGTGAAGTAGGTGAGCTGGTCTAACAACAATAAGGTCCAGTTATTTGTTGGGTATTGGGTTTATTATTTGGTGGGCTGGCCTAATAACAACAAGGCCCAGTTATTTGTTGCGCATTGAATTGTACTATTTGATGGTTTGGCCTATTAAAATATAACCCGGTTTCTTTTGTAAACCCTTTTTAATTCGTTAAGTTTGGGCCTTAGGGGATGTTCCCCCTTCTTGAATTAGACTCCTTTATTCTGAAGGGAGAAAACTGTCATGTTTCAGAGTTTTTAGAGGGGTGCAAGGATTTAAAAGTATAGGGGGTTTACTAGAGGAAACCCCAGAGGATCCAAAAGTTTAGGGAGTTGAAAAGGATATAAGGGGTAAATGAGTATTTACATTATTAGTAATTATGATGTTTCAAGCATTGCACTCATATTTGCAAGCCCATTTTAAATGAGAACAAATGTTATATGATATTATTACTTGTACGTAAATTGCATGAAGGCACTTATGATGCATGGTGTGGTTGGATATTCAGATGCATGGTGGGGTTGGATATTCGAATGCACGTGGATGTTTGTGTATGATTATCATATTGGAGACCACCTTTTATAATACCCTTCCCACATCAATTAGCATGTTATGTTTATCCTCATGCGCATATTGAGATTGTCTATCATATTGAATGATTGAAATATCTTATTGGGACAAGATGGACGTCTAACGAGTTTCAGGAGGGATTACACCAGGCAAGTATTGGCCAGTGTGGGATTTTGACGCCCCAAGGATAGATTATGAGGGGGATTTTATTTGATATCATATCATGACGCCTTGAGGGTAGATTGTGGGTGGTTTAGCTGTTTTTCTGTATCTGATTTTGCCATCCCAAGGGTAAACTGTGGATGACACCACCCTAAGGATAGACTATGGGTGGCCCAACTACTTGTATGTTTTTTGGACCAACACGGGAGAGGTATAACGTAGGTCTCTAGGTACTGGTGTGGTAATGGTGGTCATATTAATTATATGAGTGGGATTATAGCACTTAATGGGTATAGGCTTGGGTGGATTTATAATATATTAAATCATTTGTTATCTATTATGGATATTGTTGATACGAAAATAGAAAATCGATTGACCTTGATGGAATTGAAACTGATGTGTGCGTGATTTATGATAAACCAGCAATTGAATGTAAATGTGCACAAGAAAGTAAAGAACACAAAGATTTTTAAAGTGGTTCAACAAGTTAGAACTTGAACCTATGTACGTCCACTATTATCTTATTGTTTTTGAGGGATTACAAGAACAATGTAATATGCCTGAATAAATTTGCTAAACCCTCTCTCATCGTTTGAGGGGGTTTTTATACAAGTTTGTAATTAATGGAGAGAGATAAGTTCGAGATTGCAATCAGAGTTGTTTTGCAATCCCGTGATCTTCACGATTGTGAGCTGAGATTGCGCTGCAAGTGGTGTTGATCTCATCTCTTCTGAAATATCTAAGATTGGAGTTTATTTTTGATTTTGTTGAACAACTGTTTGGATTGATCGTTGTGGTGAGCTTCACCTAGGTCGAGCTTACTCTGAATCAAACTGATTTTGAGTCGAGCTTGCTCTTGGGTCGAGCTTGTTCTGGGTAGAATTATCTCTCTGCGAGCTTTCGAAATTTGTGAGCTCTCTTATGGCAAAATCACACAATATNTATGACATTATATTATAAACATTAGTAATTAATTTATTAATTTATACAATACTTAATTAAATGATTAGAATTTTATTAATTATAACATTACATTATAAATTTATGGTATGATTACTTAATTAATTATAACATTCTATTATTAACAATATTACAATACTTAATTAAATGATTAACAATTTAATTAATTATAATACATTATAATTAAACCCTAAACCCAAATAGTATATTTGTTAGGGGTGTATTTGTAAACTTTTAAGGTATTTTTGTCATTTTTTAAACTAATAGGGGCATAATTGATTTTTTATAGGGTACCCCGGAAAGGAACCGAAATCTGCATTTTAGGTTCTGGTTCCTTGAATTGAAGAACCTGCACTGTGCGGTTCCTTTTTTTGGAAACCTGCACTATGCGATTCCGATTCTGGTTCCCCCGAAAAATGGAGGGTACCTGGAATTGTTCACCCTATATATATGTTTTGATGCAATATTTTGAACATCTTTTTGTAAAACATGTTTATCAGTTTGACAATCAATACGAAGTAGAAATTTTTGATTGAGTAAATCACTTTGAAATTTAGAAATGCATAGGACAATGGATAAAAACTCTTTTTCGATAGTGGAGTATTTTCGTTGAGTTTCATTCCAAAATTTGGAAGTAAATTAGATAACTTTTCTTTGTTATCTTGTACTTGTTTGAGAATACCTCCATATCCTAAATCTGAGGCATCTGTTTCAACTATTTTGAAGGCTAATGGGTCTGCTAAATTCAAATAGGGCGAATGGGTGATTTGGGTTTTAATCTGTCGGATTATGTTAGTGTGTTGGCTTGTCCACGGTGTTGGATTCTTTATATATATTTTTTTTGTTGTATCATTTTAGATCTTTAGTTATAACATATAGCTTTGCCGGTGTAATATACTCCATATGATGATGATGATGATTAATATGTTTTTTTAGCATTTAATTGTTTATCTAACAGGAATGTGAATGAAGTATATTGTACACTAATTCTGATTGATTCATTTATTTTTGTTTAAGAATTATTATTGTAAAATTATTTTTTAGTGGTATACGAGTCACTCGCCTGGCTTCATTAATTAGTTGCCTAATAGGAATTGAGCATGATTGGAATTATGTTGATGAATTAGAAGCTGAACAAATTAATTAAGATTTTGATGTACAAGTGATCGCAAGATGATTGGATTTCCGTAAATCAATTGAAATGTGAGATTTTAGGCTCGGGGTTAGTTATTTAGAATAACATTTTATGCTAAATAGTATTTTTGAAAAATAAGATAGGATTTTGAAAAGGGTTTTATACATTTCTGATTATCATTTTCTGAAAATATTTAGATTATTTTTAACCTCCTAGGTTTGTTAATTTAATTAAACACCCATAACAATAAAAGTTTATAAATTGACAAAAACACCTCCACCCACCCACATATTGCTGGCAACTAGCCACCACTAACGAAAGGTGGCCAGAATCTGCTGGAATGGTGCCTGACCGGTTGGATCTAGCCGGTCGTGTGTCGATTTTGCCTTTTTCGGCCAGATCCACCATGGATCGAGCCAGAAAAGGCTAGATCTACGGTTGTGCATCATTACGACACCGACGACTGGCGATGGCTGCTGGTAGGTGATAGTAGCTTGGGTGGGTGAGGGTGTTTTTGTTAATTTCAAAACTTCTATTGAAAACGGTAATTGTTAATGTTTTGAGTTGAATATAATAAGATTGGATTTTGAAGAATATTAAAACAAATGTATTTTTGGTTTTTAGGATAGAATAGTGGAATATGATAGTGGGAGAAGAGTGTGCCAAACGGACCCTAAGATATCAATAAAATTCTAGACAACATGGATGTTGTTGGGGAGCTTCTAAAAATTGCAAAGGCGACTTCTGTTTACAGTTTTTTTTTTTTTTACACAAATTTACCATTATTTAAGTGGAATGTATAACTTATTGAATAATTAAATGGGCTCAAATAGTCACAATTAGGTAGCATGATAATAAAAGAGCAAAAAGAGATTGCATGAGATCGTTTGAGTCTCTCTAGACGCTAATAGGATGGCCATTGAGACTTCTACTCACATGACAGTTCTAGAGCATTGAGAGATTAGTTGAGGTGCAAGCTGACTCGAATGCCCTCGTGATTAAAAAAAAAAGGACTCAAATAATGACACGTATTTCGAAATTTGGTTTCAAATAAATGATGGCCAAAAGTTATTTCACATTAATACAGAGTTTGCAGTGTTGAGAAAATGTATTTATCATTGAAAGCATCCATGAAGCTAATTTAACAATATAATTTTATCTCTATGAATTGATTTGAGTCAAAAAATTAGATGTTACATGCATATCCATTAGTCGTATTACATTTAATTGTGAATAGCACTAGTCATAAATTTTAGTACGACAGTTCTCATAAGATCATCTGGTATGTTATGAATCATTCTAGAGGATGACTTTAAAATATATACCATTTTCCCCTAATTAATTAAATATTTGAGACCTTAACTTCTCCTTCTATATTCTAACCACGTGAGCCTGCCATTGACAAATATTGATTCTTGCATTCACAATTACTTTATATTATCTTATATTTTCTTGCGTTGGTAGAACAAATAGAAATTGATAGCTTAACCACTAATGGAAAAGTAATACATAAATTATATTATTTGAGTGACCTTCTTCAAGCAGCATATATTCCATTTTCTGTTGTTTTGGATTTTGCTTTTGACCTTGAGGACGCCTACGGATTCAAAACAACAAGAAAGACAAAAACGACGGAGGCGCTGAGAGTGGTAGTGAGTATTAAATTCACATGCCAATTAATTGACAACGTCAATACCAAAAAGGCCGACGACGGTCTCTGTATGGCAAGTGAGAGGGGACACCATATCTGATATGGTCATCGCTTTAGTGCCTTCTTCTCTACGACTCTCCACCAAAAGTCTCTGTTTTCTACAGTTCGATACGAATGAAAGTTTACCCTAATGTATAATAAATAACTAAGCAGTAATCCGACGGCATTCATGGGTATGGTTGACGGTTAAGAGGCGCATGAACTTTTCATTCTTATATTATATGTGTAAGAAGAGCATGGTTTAAGAAATTGCTTTGCTTTGCCTAGCCATGTTTTTCAAATTTGCAATAGTGGTGTCTTCCTTAATCGGAATAGTAGCAGCAGATGAAAATCTTGGTTTCATCTACAATGGTTTCAGATCGGCTAATTTGAGCCTCCATGGTACAGCTAAGTTCACCGACGAAGGACTTTTACAGCTTACCAACGAAACCCAAAGAATAAAGGGTCAAGCCTTCTACCCTAATCCAATATCCTTCAAGACCTCAACAAATGCCACGGCTTTCTCTTTTTCTACAATTTTTGTTTTAGGTATCCAGTCTCAAGTTGATGTTCTTAGTGGCCAGGGTATGGCTTTCGTGATTGCACCAACACTAGGGCTCCCTTTCGCTCTTAACAGTCAATACCTCGGCCTTTTTAACGATAGCAATAATGGAAATGCCAGTAATCATGTTTTTGCCATAGAATTCGATACGGTGCAGAATGCCGAGTTTGCTGATATTGATAATAACCATGTAGGGATTGATGTTAATAGTTTGAAATCTGAGATATCAGCTCCAGCTGGTTATTATGATAATCAAACCGGTGAATTTAAGAACTTGACGCTCATTGATCGTCAAAGAATTCAAGTTTGGGTGGAATATGATGGTGAGGAGAAGCAAATTAACGTTACTTTAGCTCCATTTAACAGTGGTAAGCCCAGTAATCCACTTCTGTCTTTGTCGAGGGATCTTTCATTAATTTTTAACGAAAACATGTTCGTTGGCTTCTCATCGTCCACCGGTTCGTTGTTTTCATCTCATTATGTTTTGGGTTGGAGTTTCAAAATGAATGGACAAGCAGAGGAACTTGCACTCTCTCAGATTCCTAAGCTTCCCCGAATTGGTCCCAAACCGAAATCAAAGTTTTTGACAATTGGGCTCCCTGTAATTTTTGTAAGCTTGACTTTAGCTGCAGTGTCAGGTGTGGTTTATGTGATAAGAAGGAAAAGAAAGTTCGCTGAAGTGCTTGAAGATTGGGAGCTTGAATATGGGCCTCATAGATTCAAATACAAAGATCTTTATTTCGCCACCAAAGGATTTAGAGAAACAGAGCTATTAGGTAGTGGTGGATTTGGCAGGGTGTACAGAGGTGTACTACCCAACTCTAAACTAGAAATTGCAGTGAAGAGAGTCTCTCATGAATCAAGACAAGGAATGAGAGAATTTGTTGCTGAAATTGTTAGTATTGGTCATCTCCGCCACCGGAATTTAGTACAACTCTGGGGTTATTGCCGGCGTAAAGGAGAGCTGCTTTTGGTGTATGACTACATGCCTAATGGAAGCCTGGACAAGTACATCTATGGCCAACAAAAGGTGACCCTGAATTGGAAACAAAGATTTCAAGTAATCAAAGGCGTAGCCTTGGGCCTATTTTATCTACACGAAGAATGGGAAAAAGTTGTTATTCACAGAGACGTCAAGGCTAGTAATGTGTTACTTGATGCTGAACTGAATGGAAGGCTGGGTGATTTTGGGCTTGCAAGATTGTATGACCACGGAGCTGATCCACAAACAACTCATGTGGTTGGTACTGTTGGCTACCTCGCCCCAGAGCACGCTCGAACAGGGAAGGCCACTAGAAATACTGATGTATTTGCTTTTGGTGCCTTTCTGCTCGAAGTTGCCTGTGGCAGAAGGCCAATAGAGCCACATTCGCCGACAGAGGAGACTGTGATTTTGGTTGAATGGGTATTTGGTTTTTGGAGTGAAGGTAAAATTATTGAGGCAAGGGATCCGAAATTGGGAACAGATTATGTCGCAGAGGAGCTAGAGTTAGTATTGAAACTTGGGTTGATGTGCTCTCATTCAGAGCCCGCAGCTAGGCCAAGCATGCGACAAGTTGTGCAGTACTTGGAGAAGGATGCTCCTTCGCCAGAGTTATCAGCTCTAGAAATTTCAGACAGTGGCCTAAGATTTGCGCATTCGGAAGGTTTTGATGACTTTGTAGGCTCGTTTCCATCTTTAATGGGCATAACAGCAGCGACTTCTATTGCAGATTCAATTCTTTCAGGTGGCAGATAAGGTCGCAACGTTAAATTATTGGAGATATAATGATGTTTTGCTGTATTATTCTTTGTAATATATTCTCAGTTGTAGCTGTGCTGGTGTAATATAAATAATAATAATGTTGTAGCATGCATGAATTAATGATCGGAAATTGTCATTCAAATGGGTACATAGCCAAGCAATAATGTATTTAAATGGGGCAGATTTAACTATTTTGAAGATAAAAAATAATTAAATAATAATTCTGGCTGCTTGCTAGTTACCCTTAATTGGATGCACTTTGAACATATTGTAAATGTAGTTTCAAGAGTATTATCATATTTGGTAATTAAGAACTATGTTACAATATGGGTTTATAGCATTATTCGATTAAATATGATGGATCGCAAATTGGAAAATAAAAAGGGTCACAAAAGAAAATTTTATATGAATCACCCTTGGATGGCTGGATGAGATGATAAAGACTCTTGAGTATATTACTGAAGTGGTATTGAGTCTGATTCTACTCAATTGCTAATGGGGGTGACCACTGAAGGATATACTCGATCGTTAACTTCAAGGTCTAGGGGTGACCATTATAGGGATACTCGATCATTAACTTCAGGGTTTGGGAGTGACCATTGGAAGGTATATATGTCATTAACTTCAAGGCCTAGGGATGGTCATTGGAGGGAATACCTAGTAGTTAACTTTAGAGTCTAGGGTATAAAAATTATATGAAACGTTCTTTATACCTTATTTTATTGTAGAGAAATACTAGCCTTACAAAAAGAAATACAAAGAGGGGTATACAAAGACAAATCATGCCCTTAATCTTTGTGATTGCCTCTCTTTCTCTGTTTTTCCCTTCTTTTAAGGGTATAATTTATCTTTGTATACCCCTATTTGTATTTCTCTTTGTAAGGCTAGCATTTCTCTTTATTATTGCATGCTGGGACAAATTCATCAACTTTATAATATGGCGTCGTTTTACATTTCAAAAAATCTCATTCTGGACCTGCCTTGGGCTTTACCAGCCCACCAGGGCTGTTTCCTAAACGGGTTGGTCTAACGCATTTTGTACGATCGGGTAAACCGGTTTATCTGTCGGATCTTTTCACTTCCAAAATCTGAATCTCTCCCCGCAATTTCAATGCCTGAGACAGACTTTTGATCAATCAATCGGGAAATGCCGGTGAGAGTCGTAGACAACTCTGCACCGTCTCAAGTATCAGGTATTCTGTTTCAATGAAATTACGATCTTAGTCATTGCGTCTGTTAGGTTATCAAATTCTTGATTGCTTTCTAATTATCTGAGTTAATTACAGTGGTCTCGATTAGGAAATTTATTAACATATTTTGTAATTATGAGTTTCTTTTTGTGTGATTTCATTGTATTTTGTGTACTGAAGGTGCAAATTCTGGAAATACTTCACCCCCAGCCTGCTCACTTTTGAGTGTTGGACAGGTGAATTGTTCTGTCGTTTTATTTTTTATTTTTTTTTCATATCATTAAGCTTTTTTATTGTTTAAAAGGCATGTGGTTCAAGTTTATTTTTTGTTGCACACCAATTCCGATTGATTGATTTATTTCTCTTTAAAAATTACCATCATAAAATTTACTTGCTAGCCTCATACGACTTGCCCCTGCTTCATTAATTAGTTGCCTAATATGAATTGAGTATGATAGGAATTATGTGGATGATTTATTGGCTGAACAAATTAACTAATATTTTTTATACTTTTTAAGTAATGGCAAGATGATTGGATTTCTGTAAATGAATTCAGATGTGAGATTAAGATGTTGAAGAGGTCGCAAAACCATATAGCTGTTGTGTAATGGAGACTTTCAATTTTTATTTTTTTATTTTTCTCTCCTTGTAGTGAAGCTGCAGAGTTTCTTTTTTATGGTGCTTTTATGTGTAAAGCTTTTGGCGTTTCAATGTTTGTTGCACAACTCTCATTTTTCATGCAACAAGTAGTTTAGATGATTCATTCCTTCTTTCTGTTTTTAAAATATATGTGTGTGTTGTTTTTTGAAGGAAGGGTTGTGCCCTGGCCGGTGAATGTATGTGAAGCCATGAACTCATGTAGATAAAAGTTTTTTCTTGCGCTTTGGAAATAAATGATTCTTATATTTAGGGGTGACATACCTTATTGCTATGGTTGAAAGGATTCAATGTATGGCATTATATTTTATTGCAGGCATTTTCTGGTACACAGAATGTCTCAAATCTTCAAAAGGAGGAAGCTTGGAGAGTTAATGTCCGGATACAAGGATGTGACCTTGAACATGGGTATCTATGTGGCACCATGGAAGCTCTGAATGTTCCTATGGCAGACACACCAGTTAGTGTTATTTTCTTCTCTCAGCAGCAATTAAATTGTGTCTACCCTTTTCATCCTATCTTATCTGGTATTTTTAAGATACAGAGCTTTGATACTGACAAATAATTATAAAAGTATCTTCAGTTAAACACTGCCACCCTGGTTTAATGGATTTTTATTAGATATCCATTCTTATTCTTCTTATTCATAGGTTTCACCCACCTAAGTTTTCAATTTTTGCTGTCTGCTTCTTGCCTCTTCTTACATTTTGATTTATCAATGTGATACAGAAGGTTTATTTGTTTTGATTTTTCATATAATTTTACTCTTTGGTTCCCATATTAGGAAGTATTAAAAGTTATTGCAGAACTGAGATGCAGAGTTTTTCCCTGTGCATGCATGCACACATACGCTCACACAAAAACACACACTCTCATATATCCCTTTCCCTTAGTATTGACTTTAAAATTTAGTCAAATATGCAGAATCTCCTTGTAAACTCATCAGTCATTTAATTGTTTTTAACGATGTTCAGGTAGTAACTTTCTGGGAAGGAGAGATTGTTGATACGAAAAACTATACTTTCTACACCGGCAAATGGGAAGCAGCGTATGCTCTTTCTTTTTCCTTTTCCCTTTTAAATTGAGCATTAAATAAATCTCAATAGATTGTCTGTTCCCTTTTAATTGGTTAAAGAAACTTTTTATAGGCCAGAGGATGATATAAGGCATTGGACGAAGTTTCAATCTTTTTCACCCCTTCTGGTAATGATTTGTGTATTTTCACCCATTTGGTGAGTTACAACTGCTTCTACATATACATAATTTATGTTCATTTCATCAACTCAATCTCTTCAGAATCAAGTGGAGGTTGATGGTGGCAAATCATTGGACCTGAGTAACTACCACCACATATTTATGGTAATTTTGTTTGAGACTTAATCAATTTAATTTAGTGAACAGTTATTTAACAATATGATAGGACAGTTTATTGAAGATGTGATAGTTTGGCATGCTTTCTATGCTCAAAATTATGCGTGGGTTATGTTTTTGTTATACATTATTTACTAAAATTAATAAATGGCTGACAAGCTAATGTGGCATATGCCATCTCAATTATCGCACCATCTAGTAAAGAATTTTTTGTAAAAGTCTTTTATAGATTTAGCATGAATCTTTGATTAATTGGTAGAAGAAGTTGATATGTTTAAATTAATTTAACTTGCCATTTTTTAATTTTGTCATTGTAGAGATGGAAAGAGCAATATTTTGTGAATGTTGGAACCGACTGTGGGCTAACCATAGCAGGCTTCTACTATGTTTGCTTCTCTTGTAGTGATGGCTCCATCAATGGCTTCTATTATGATCCCAATAGCAGGTACTTCTTTGCTGCCATCTCTGATTCTAAGTTTTGGTTGAGTAATTGTCTTTTCTTGGAAATAGTATGCCAATGATGAATGCTTCTCTTTTGTTTTCTGGAAAGCTGGGATATGTCCATAGACTGATTACGAATCAGGCTATCCTTGTATTTTACACTGTCATCCTTCTAACCCCTTCGCCCCTCTCGCACTTTGACTTTCTTTCTCATGTATCAAAGTGACTGACGAAATGCTGTTAAATTGAGTTGCAGCCCTTTTCAGAAGCTTGAGCTGAAATGTACCAACGAGGGAAGATCAGGTTTTAGTTTTTCATCGTATGAGTTACAATGAAAAAGAAAAATTGGCAAGTGATTCTGATAGCAGCACTGATTCAACAATAGTTGTCAAATCGCGTATAATATTGAGAATTGTAGAATACTAATAACCATGGATTCAACTACTGAAATTATTTGACTTCCTCGATTTGCATAAAAAATTCTGAGGGAGGACTTGCAAGAGCGCAGGCACTCGAGCGAACATACATTTTGATGACTCTTGGAAAATTGATAAAATGTGCATGTATTTGGTTATGAGAGTGTTAATTATGTATTAGTGCCTATACCTTATGATATCCCTTTTTCAATTTTGTTACAGTTTTAAAAAGAATTATCAGTTAGGAATTGCAGGCCAAAGCAGTTAGCAACATGATGATGAATCTCTGCTAGCAGTTTGTTATACAGTTTCTTGAAAACCGAAGTCGGTTATTTCCTTCTCATCCTCTGTAGTCAGTTAATTATGCAAAGAGAAATTTGAGAAAAAGGATGGAGACTGGTCTTTCTTATGCCTTTAAATCATATTGAATTTACACAGTTGTAACATAAGTAACTACTCTCAAGAACATAAATTAGGTCAATATTATACTTACAATTTAATATATAATCTTTCTCTTATAATTTTGACGTGGTAGCTTGTAATGGATTTAACTTGTATAATTATGATAGTTTATAATGGGTTTTGTCTACCTGATTAAGAATTGTCACGGTGGAATTAGAAGAAAAAGTTTGTAAAATTAATTTGTGAGTAAGTTTGATTGATAGTTAAATAACTATGGAGACCGGTATTTAAGTAAGCCATAGAGATTTTCATTTTCTAAGGGGAAAAAAAAAAAACCAAATAACGTGGGCAGCCAAGATGAATCGGTGGTGAAAACAGGAGTGGGGAGAGTGATTGATTGATTAGAGAGTAGTGAGGGAGTTTCTCGTGCACAGTAAAAGCATATTTTTTTATGAATTAAATGAGAGTCATTGATTAGTTGAAATAGCAGTTACGCCGCACTCACTATCATAACCCGGAACGTGGGGTCATCCACAACTGGCGAACTCCCCCTTACGTGAACCCAGTCCCAATCCCCGCCACCATCTTCCAAAACATCCTCTATTCAAACACGTAACTCAGTGACTATTGAAAGAGAAGCAGCTGCACATTTATGTAATGCGTGCGCTCACGCAATTGGTTACTGTGGTCAAATTATAATATGCATGCAGCATTTACCCCTTTTCATGAGGGTCGTCTCCTTCTTTTTATATCTCCTTCTCCAACCCAACCACCCCACCATCTCTTATTAATCCTTCTAACTTTCTCTTTTCTCTCTTATTTTCACTATTTTTCATGCTTTCTATTTTTGTCAAGCACCGCCTGTTTGAGGTACATATATTAGTCAAAAAGATTTACGTGTCAGAGCCTTTTTCCCTTGTCCCCGTCTTTAATACTCGATTGTTTGTTCGAGAGAGATATATATATATATATATAGACGTATTGGTAAGGATTTTTTTTAGCAACGGGTACAGAAGTATGGAGATAAGTTTGTTTTGTGATGAGCTGTGGCTTTCGAATCCTGACGAAACTTCCCATGAACCCAAACAACGCATTTTAGAGAGGTGTCCTGGTTATTCATTTTACAACACTAAGGAAGACTGTGAACAGGCTAGTATTATTTGCTTTAAGAAGGAGTTGAGTTACATTCCTGAACCTGGATATTTAGAGTATCTCCAGTCTAATAATTTGATGAACTTTAGGCTCAAAGCTATTCAATGGCTTTTCAAGGTCAGTGTTATTCATTTCATCCCGAAAAAGAATATGATAATAAAGAAGAGGAATAGACTTCATGTGGGTTTATCTCTAACTTCTTGTTTTTTGTTGTCTTCAGTCTCGCAGTCGGCTGAATCTCTGTTACGGAACTGTTTTCAACGCTGCAAATCACCTTGATCGATTCATATCCATGAACCAATGCCATGTAATTAACTATAGCTTAGAATCCATCTCTTAATTTGCTGGCTTTGTATTTTTATTTTGATACTGAATACTCACATCATCATATATTTTAGGGATGGAAATGTTGGATGATTGAATTACTGTCTGTGGCGTGTTTATCAGTAGCATCCAAGTTTACCGAGACGTCCGCTCCTTTATTGCAAGAGATTCAGGTGATCTATTATACTTATTGCTTGCTGTTATTAACTCTATTGTTATGGTATTAGTGTCTTAACTGATTGATAACTGTGCGGTTGTGGTGGTCATTATAGTTGGAGGACCTTGAACATTGGTTTGAATCAAGCACAATAAGGCGAATGGAATTGACCCTGTTACAGACTTTGGGATGGCACCTTGGCTGTGTAACACCTTACTCTTATGTAGAACTGCTATTATCCAATGTTGACTCTCTCGAATCTCACCTTCACAATCAGTTAACCACCCGATTCACTCAGCTTCTTCTCGGAGCTATGTTAGGTACACAGTCCTATCAATTTCTCTTGCGTTAATCTGATATATCAGGCAGATGATTCTCAAATACATGATCAAAGCTGGATTTTCCCAACAGAGCTCCGCTACCAATGCTCTTGGCAGATGAATTTTGATTGATCAATTTCAATCGTCACATTGTTTCATTTGCACGACATTGTACAATTGCTGTAATTATTGTGCTCATTTAAGGAAGCTTGAACTTGAATTATAATGAAGCAACATATGTAGGAGAAGTTGCTCCAGATGAATTTGATGCTCATCCTGATTAAACCAAAACTAATGGGTGCAGATTTCAAGCTGGTGGAGTTTCGGCCAAGTCTTATTGCCGTATCTGCTCTACGGTGCTGTCTAGATAAGCTAATTCCATCGTCTTGTTCACACCTCGCCTCTACAAGTCTCCTCAACCAATTTCAAAAGGTACAAAGATTTAAACGCTATTTCTCAGCTTATGTAAATTAGAGAATGGAAATAATATATGGGTTTTCACTTTTCAATTTACTAGGATGATCTTCATAAGTGTCATATGATAATGAAATCACGCATGGTAGACCCATTATCCAACATATTAGTCAGTGGGCAACTTCACAATTGGCCTTCAAGTCCTGTCACGGTTTTGGTGAAGGAGCGAATTGACATCTATGATTCCCAAGTTGATCTCTCTATGTTCAAGCTGCCAGGTTCCAACATCAATACTGAATCATGCAGAAAGAGGAAGAGGCAATTATTAGAACATTAGGAAGGGTGTTCAAAGAGCATCATTTCCTTCTATCTATTGACCAAGGCAAAGAAAATTTGCTTCATAATCTAATTTATATACATCGGGGAAACACAATAACCCATCAAGTATTTGGTAACCCTTTTTCTTTTCTAAAGTGAAACTAAAAAAGTCTACTTGTTGGAGTGGAACTAGCGTAAAATATTTTTTATCTTTGGTGCTGCTGATGATTAACTCTAATTTATTTTTAGTTTGTGTTATCCTCTCGAGCAACTCAACTGAAACATTCTTAATCAGCTCCAAACATTTAGATAATAACTTTTAAATTCTAGCAAAAATTTTAAAGTAGATAAGTATTAAATGAGAAGATCATTACAAAAAATTAAGATATTGGATATAAGTAATTATTATATTTCTACCTTCTCAAAAGCTCCAAAAGAGATTTTTTTTTTTTTTTTTTTCAAAGTAAATTAACATGTATTTTTTTTTATGACCGAGGGTGTTCGGGCCAGCTTACATGCATCTCAACTGATCCCCCGAGACCTTGGAATTACCGATCAGGTAAGAGCTCTAATGGTGTTGATGCAAAAAATACATCAACTAGAGTAATCCGATTGACCTTCGGAATCGGAACAGATGTGTGTGTGATTACGAAAAACCAACAATGTATGAACATAAAATGCAATAAAGTAAATGACACAATGATTTTTTAAAGTGGTTAGGTGAGATATACTCTTGAGCCTACATCCATTGTTTTATATTTGATGTGAGAGCTTACAATGATAATCTTAGAATAATTTGCAAACCTCTTTCTCATCATTGGAGGGGTTTTGTATAAAGGAAAAAGCGAAAATAAATGGATTACAATTAAAAATGAAACGTAACTCCGATATTCTTGCAATTGAGCGTTGAGATTGAGCCAAGATTGATGTCTGATCCCTTCCAAAATATCCGGGATCTAAAGTTATCTGTGAGTTGGTTGAACAACTGTTGGGATTAGTTGCGATTGGCTTGTGCTAGGTCGAGCTACAACTCGACGAGCTTATTTTGGGTCAGACAATCGATTGAGTCAAACTGATTCTGGATCGAGCTGTTACCTCGCAATTATTCGAGTTTGATGGAAAAGTCACACACAACATCTACCCTCTAGTGTTCGATGCTCGTTTCGAGCTTTGAAGACTATTATTCAATTTGATATCAAGCTCGAACTTCATCGGTTGTCTGCTAAAGGCAAATTCAGTCGAGCTTCACAAGTCAGACTCATTTTCGGTCAACGTACTCAACACTTGGTTTTTCCTCCGCTATGATGTTCTTGACAAACTCGAAATTTGAAGTGAAGGGCATATGTGTAACTTTCACGCAGACTGTCGCATTTAATGCGGCGGCCTTGGGCAGTTACTTTTTGTCGCGCGTGGGCGACTATAGCTGTCCACGTGCACAATCCAAGCGACGTGCGGTGACGGTTATGATTGTGGCAGCCTGACGATTGATCGCCCCTTATAGATGATTGACATGTGGCCACGTTCAAAGGCTAGGATTGCTCGACGAATGGAGGTTTGAGATTCACTGTAGATCGACGGCTACGATCGAATCTCGCCCTTTTGTCTCCCATGCAAATCACTATAAAAGTAGGCAATATCGTCAGAACGTCTACACACTTTGCAAAAGTTTTTAGATTTTCTTGATTATTTCGTCGTTGCTCTTTTGTTTTCACGACGCTTTTCCGACGAGTTTCTTCCATCTTTTCACTTCGGTAAGGTGTCTTTCCCTTCCTTTGCTTACTTTTACGCCTTTTTGCAGTTAAGGGTGGCCATTGTCGTGGCCACATTGAGTTTTTTAGGGCTTTGCTAGCGTTTATTGAATGTATTTTTGGCGGTTTTGGGTTTAAGGAGGGTTTATGGTGGTAGCCACCAGATTCCCAGTAGGTTGCTTGTGTTTGTTGTCCACACAAGCTACCCTGGGTGCCTGAACTTAAAGCAAATTATGGATAGGTCGCTGAATTTTTGAGCTCTGACACATGTTCGCGTCTGTTTCAGGTAACTAGAGGTGAGCTATCATCATGTCTTTGTCAAGCAGCAATAGCATTGATCGCATGTTCAATCCCCCAGCGAGCTTGACACTTCTTGGCGGTGTAGTCCTTCAGGCTTCCAAGGATGTCATTGTCCGGAGTTTGGACCCTGATGCGGCGGGCTCTTCGGACCACGTTTCTGTCGAGATTGTTCAGTCGAAAAGATCTCTAGTCCATAGGCCACGGAAGGAACCACATTCCTGAATTGGGGCCGATGACCTTAGGCACATAACAAAAATTTATGCGTCTTAACTTTCCTTGCGGGTTCCGGGAGGCTTCTATAAAAAAAATCCCACCACCGGCTATGTGGTAGTCTCTGATACCTTTTTAAGGTATGGGAGGTCCATTTCCCTTCATTACTTCATAGAAAGTGTTTTGAGACGGTTCGACATCATCTCTCTTCAGTTGTCGGTGAACTCATATATTATTATCGTAGGCATGTACATAGCATACCAAATAGCTAAGTTGGGTAAGTTATCCGTAGAGAAGCTCGGTATAGCTTAAAAAAGAGTCAAGATCAAACGTACTATCTCTCATAGGCGAGGAAAGTACATTTTAACAGTTTGGTTGACGTCCCAAAAAAGATCCCGCATTGGGACTCTCAGTTTTTCTTTTATATGGTCGGGGAGACCGGTATTTTTGTTTCATAAGCTAGTAAGACTTCAACCCTTGTGTGTGCAAAGAGTGTTTCTAAGCTCGATCGTCAGACTAACCAAGTTTTTTTACTTTGCAGTAAACGTAGAGCAAAACTTTCTTTCTATAGCGAGCTTAGAACGGCTTCGCCAATCTTTCTGACAAGGAGCGCAATGTTAATGAGCTTATCTCGCTTCCTCGGTTGAGAGCGTACGACGTCAACAATGCCAAATTTAACACCATTCTTGAAAAAAGTAAAGTGCTTACTTGCTCCTTTTTTTTTTTTTTAAGTCGTTAATTGTTTGCTTCTCCTTTTGTAGATATGTGGGCCAAGAAACCAAAGGGCCTGAAGAAGAAGATGGCAGCGTTCAAGACTGCCAAGAAACAGTCGGTCGCTTTGACGAAGAAGCAGCCTGCTGATGCTACGGGATGGTCGAGCAGGGTCCCTTGCGCCCGGTCCTCAAGCACAGTGGTGGCAAGCTTGGGGAAGGCCTAAGTGCCAAAAAGCCCATGATTGCCTCTAAGGCAATCGGGGAGAAAGGTGCCCTTGAGCCCCAAAGAGGGTTGACGAAGAAAACCTCTAAGCCAATTGGAGGCTCGGGGAAACAGAAAGTGCCCAAGCAACATGATGGCTTGGTAAGAAGAATGTGCCAAAATAGCATGAAGGCTTCGACAAGAAGAAGTTGACTGAGCTGTAAGGGGGCTCAGGAAAACAGAAGGTCATCGAGCAGCAAGGTGGCTCGGGCAAGGAGGCTGCAAGGCAAATTGGTGGCCCTAAGAAGTCTGCGGCCAAAGACTTGGCCAAGAAAAATTATATTCCCATTACTGAAGTTGTCATTCCTGTGGGAAGTAAATCAAGTTCGCCTTAACAGGGAGGCAAAATGATGGACGAGGCAGCTTGGGCTGCGCTCGATGCAATATTCAACGAGCTCCCTGAGGACATCGATATTGGGGCCTCGACAGTCAGGGATGCTGTCACCTTGCAAACTTACACGGGCATTAGAGATTCGTCTCCTCCCCAGCTATTATCTTGGGCATGTAGCTACGTGACAAAAGTATCAGTAGTTTGCCCCTTTTTCCTTTATATATATAAATGCTTCTCTTTTTTCTTCACTGACTTTCATTTCTTTTCAGGCTTGCGTGGCAACCAAGCTTCTCTTTGATGAGAGTTACCCTACCTCAGTGGGTACTCATCGTGGTAGGAGGCGGAGGCTCTGAAGGAGGATGTCTTGGCTAGGGCTGAGGTGGCAGAGAAAGAGAAAAACTTGAAGAAGGTTGAGCTTGAGCGACTCAAGGAAGAGGCTGAGGCCAAGGCCTTTGGAGATAAAGAAATGGAGTTCCTTGAAAAAATCAATGCGAGTGAGACTGCTCGAGCAAAGGCTAAAATGAGAGCAGTGGAGGCTAAAAAGAGTTTGGCCTAGCAACAGGGTGCTAACAACAAACTGAATTTCGAGCTTGCCTCGGCTCAGAAGGTTGCCTTGGATTAGGAGGCTAAGTACAAGAAGACCTCGCTTAAGCTTGCCAAGTAGGTGGCAGGTCGCTAAAGGGCCGAGGCTGAGGCTGAACAACTCAAGCTCGACGTCAAGGAACTGAACTCGGCCATTACGAGCCATGCTTGGAAAACGTTGGTCTTCCTAGTGCAGAAACTGTGGGAAGCTCATCCTTCACTCGACTTTTCCTTTCTTCCGAGGGCTTATCAGAAGGAGGTCATTAAGATAAAGACCGAGGCCCAAGGCATGACATACGTTTACTCGGACGACTTTGAGCCTGACGGTGAAGGTGAGTAGGAGGTTAAGGAATGAGAGAAAGATGTTGGTGTTAAGCAAAAGGTCGAAGATCTGGCTTCTTTGGCCACACTTCCGCCTATTGCTGCCGACCTTCTTCGGTTAAGACTACGAAAGACGTTCCGGATCCTACCCCCGAAGAGGCTACCAAAACTCCTTCTATCGACGATCTTTCTGCCCCTATTGGCAACGAGCTCCCTGGTTCTGCAGGCGATGATGCCCCCACACCTCCAACTGCTTAGATATTTTTTCGTATATCTTTTTTTTTTTTAGTTTAGTTTGTAAATAAAATTACATAATCAATGAAAAATTTGTTTTGCACATTTCTTTCGAGCAATTTTTATTTCTGTAGAGTCGTTTCGATCGTCCGAATCAGACTTATCATAAAAAATTCGAATTTGCTCCAAGTTATGCGTAGCTGACTTCTTGAGGAACTTTTCAAATATATATAAGAAAATCTTGTGCGACAACTCTGAGTTTAGACTAGTTGTCCGTCTTGAGTTTTGGTCGCCAGTTTATAACCGATTTTCCTTCGACATGTTTTACTTGAGTTTTTCCAAGTTTAACTTCGTCGATTCGAGAAATTTCTCCCTTCATGAGTTGAATTCTAGCGTGGCTTATCGCGCTAAGCTGTATTTTTTCAAACTCTTAACTCTAAGTTTTGGATGTGATTGCATAGGTTGCGATTTTGAAACCATAGATGATAAATGATGAACAAAATACTAATAACCAAAAGGTGACTAACAAAATAAAGTTCATGAATAATATCCCTTTTTATTGATAGAATTTTGGTCATAAACGACCTTACAATGAATATGGGAGAAAAACAAAACATGAATGAAACCCAAGCTGCTTATTAGTAATACCTTCGCAAATGCTCGACGTTCCATACTCGTAGTACGACTTCACCATTGAGGTGTTCCAGGTGGAAAGTTCCTAGTGTGAGCTTTTCGGAGATCCTGAATAGACCTTTCCATTTAGGCCCAAGTGCCCCCAAATTTGAGTTTTGTGTACCCTGAACAACCTTTCTAAGGACTAGGTTGCCCACTTCAAAGTCCCTGTTCTTGACTTTAGAGTTGAAGTATCGTCTGGCTCACTATTGGTACGAGGCGAGCCTTAGTTGAGACTTAGCTCAATGTTCTTCGATTAGGTCTAGCCTCAGGTGGAGAAGATCTTCATTTGTTTCTTCATTAAAGACTTCCTGGCAGAACGAACTAATCCCCACTTCAACTAGGGTCATTGCTTCACACTCGTATGATAAAGAGAATAGGGTTTCTCTCGTCAAGCTTCTAGCTATCGTTCTGTAAGACTATAAGGCCTCGGGCAATTCCTTAGCCTATCTTCCCTTCAATGCATCGAGCTTCTTCTTAATGGTGTGCTTGATCATTTTGTTCACAATCTCTACTTGGCCGTAAGCTTAAAGCCAATAAACAGCGACGAAGCTCTTCTTGATACTGAGCCTTTTGTAGAAGATGTGAAGTCCTTACAATCAAACTGTTTCCCATTGTCGATTATTATTGTATGGGGAATTTCGAATCTACAAATGATGTTTCTGTAGACAAAATCCTTTAGCTTGTTCGATGTGATGCCAGCCAAAGGCTCAACTTCTGCCCACTTAGTGAAGTAGTCTACTACAACCACTGTGAACTTAACACCTCATTTTCCTTGAGGGAAATTGCCTATCAGATCGATCCCCCAGATTACAAATGACCAAGGACTTGTCAAGGTAGTTAACTCTTGGGGTGGAGCTCGCGGAACATCTGCAAAACTCTGGCATTTTTCACACCTACGCATATAGTTTGCTGCATTGTCAAAAACTGTTGGCCAGCAATAGCCCTGGCGAAGTACCTTGTATGCTAGAAATCTTCCCCCTGCATGGTTCCCATGGATGCCTTCGTGGATTTCTCTCAAAACATATTCTATGTCCTCATGATCAACACATTGCAAGAGCGGTGAGTTGTACCCATGCTTATACAGTTTGTCATTAATGAGCGTGTATTGAGCTGACTTTGCTCGGAGTGTCTTAGCTTCACTTCTTCCTTCAGGCATTGTTCCATCTCTTAGGTAAGCAATTATTGCATTCATCCATATGTATCTCTACCCTGTTACTAAGACTGATTCCTATGGAGCGAGAATGCTTAGACTTGGGAGGAATTTGACAAGTATTGAATCATTCTTTTCTTAGCTCATTGCCGAAGCTAGGCAAGCTAGAGCATCGACCACTAAATTCTTTTCTCTCAGGATTTGAAGAATAGTGAAAGATTTGAACTACTCGAGCTCAGATTTCACCTACCGGAGGTAGGATGTCATTTTGTCCTCCTTTACTTGATATTTCTCAGAAATCTGATAGACTACGAGTTGAGAGTCGCTGTAGATCTTGATGAACTTTGCCCCTATTTCCTTGGCGAGGCGAATCCTCGCTGTAGATCTTGATGAACTCGAATCTAACGACAACCCTGATCGGGTTCCCTTTGGGACTTTCGAGCAAGAGCCCAGCTCCTGCCTCGTTCTCATTTGAGAACCTGTCAACATATAGAGTCTACTACCATAGACCGTCAAGCTTTGGTTTATGCGGTTCGCTTACTTCCGAGGTACTCACCCCTGACGGGCTTACTTCTCCCTCGGGCTAATAGGAAAATTCTGAAATGAAATCTACCAAAGCCTAACCTTTTATTGTTGTTCTCGGGATGTGCTTGATATTATGCTGACGCATCTCCATTGTCCACTGAATTAATCTACCTGATGCCTCGGGCTTTTGCATTATTTTTCTCAGTGGGAAGTTCGTCAGTACATGTATGGAGTGCGCCTGAAAATAGGGCCACAACTTCCTAGCGGCGATGACAAGTGCATAGGCGAGCTTCTCCATCTCTAGGGATCTTGTCTTAGTGTCGAGCAACCTCTTGGTCACGTAGTACACCCGTTATTACACTCCCCCTTCTTTCCGTACCAAAATCGCGTTGATCACAGACTTAGATACCAATAAATATAGAAGCAACAACTCACCCTATATAGGCTTTGATAGCAAATGAGACTGCCTCAAATGCTTTTTCAATTCCTAGAATGCTTTCTCGCACTCCTCTGTCCATTTGAAACCTTTGTCTCCCTTTAGGGTTTCGAAGAATGGTAGGCACCTGTCTATGGCTCGAGAAATAAACCTGATAAGTGCGGCCACACACTCTATCAAGATTTGAACCTGCCTTATACTAGGCGAGCTTTTCATGTCTAGGAGAGCTAGCATATTTTCTAGGTTGGCTTCGACACGTCGCTGATTAATAAGGAAACCAAAAAATTTTCCCGAGCTTACTCCGAAAGCGCACTTCAGAGGGTTGAGTCTCATTCTGTATTTTCTAAAGATGTCAAACATTTCTCCCAGGTGCTCAATGTGGCTTTCGGTGACCTTTGGTTTGACGAGCATATCGTCGATGTACACCTCTATTGTTTTCTCAATTTACTTGGCGAATATCTTGTTCACCAAACGTTGCTAGGTCACCCCAGCATTCTTCAAGCCAAACAGCATAACCCTATAATAGTAAATACCCCATCCACTAATAAATGACGTGTGTTCTTCGTCAAGCTGATACATTGAGATTTGGTTATATCTTGAGTATGCATCCATGAAGCTGAGTAGCGTGTTTCCAACTGTTGCATCTACTAATTGGTCAATTTGGGGTAGCAGAAAGTTGTCTTTGGAACAAGCTTTGTTTAAATTTTTGAAGTTGACACAAGTCTGTCACTTGTTATTTGAATTTTTCACAAAGACTGGGTTGGCGAGTCAGTCCGGGTATTTCACTTCCCTGAAGAAGTTAATGTTCAGGAGCTTGTCAACTTCATCTTTGAGCGCTTTGAACCACTCCGCATCCATAGATTTCCTTTTGTGTCTGATTGGTCAAGCTTCTGGGTTGACATTTAATCTGTGGCACATTGCCTCGGGACTAATCCCCACCATATCCTTATGTACCCAAGCGAACACATCGAGGTTTTTCTTTAGGAAACCCACCAGATTATTTGTAAGCTCGTCCCTCAAACTACTGCCAATTTTCAGTATGCGAGTTAGGTCTTCCTACTTCTCGCAGCTCTTCTTTATAGATGCGAGGATCTATAATGTCCTCCAGAGGTCCAAGGTTTGACTTGGACTCTGCAATGACCATGGTTCTCAAGAGTGGCAATTTCAAAGAAGCATTAATAACCCAGTTGTAACACTCTTGAGATTCTTTTATACAGCTCCTGATCGTTGCGACCCCGCCTGGAGTTAGGAATCTCATCGCCTGGCAATGTACCAAGGTGACTACACTCAGATCATCCAGGATCGGTCTTCCAACAATGACATTATAAGTGGTCAGGCAGTCTACTACTAAAAATTCTGCTATCACCGTCCTGATCTTGGGTTCTGTCCCTAGGGTCACGAGTAGGTCGATTGTTCCCCTAGAGACTAGGCTATCCCCGGTGAATCCATAAAGCGGCGATGGACACACCCTTAGATCTCATTCTATGAACCTCATTTCTCGGAAAGCTCCTAAGAAAATGATGTTCATTGCACTGTCATTATCGAACATCACCCTGAGTACTCGGGCATTGTCTATCTTTGCTATGATCCCGATCGCGTCGTGATTGTGGCAAGGAGATTCTTCACACTTATCCATGGTGATATATCACCTCGCTCTCTTGTTTGGACCACTTCGACAACTTTTGTTCACAGCTCATTACTCGCGAGACTGAGTCTATTTTGGCCTCTTGAGCATATTGCTTGCGAGAGCGCCTTGAGCTCCTTGCAATGTCAGGGCCCCCATAGATCATGCCTACCAGGACCTCAATTTTGGTTGGGGCTTGCTAGACCTAATTATTTTGCTCACCTGTATTTTCGCGAGCTGACACCACCTTGACAAATTCTTTTAGGTGGCCCCTTCGGAATAGATCTTCGATAGCATTCTTTAAAGTTTGGCTCTCATTGGAGTTGTGCTCAATGTCCAAGTGGTATCGGCAATATTTCTGCCGATCTCTTTTGCCTAGTCCACTTCATCCTTTTTGGAGCGGGCAGTCTCTTAGCCTCACATGAGACTTCATATATATGAGCTATGTCTTGAGTGAGGAGAGTGTATTTTGCATATCACGGAAAAGGTTGTCTTTCCCCACGATTTTTTGTTTTTTGTCTCTTTTGGAACCTATTCTAGTCCTTGTCATTGCGGTCTTGGCCCTTCCATTTATCTGCTGGGTGATCTTGTTGTCTGTCTAGGGCTCTTTGTGGCGAGCTTCTGGCTAGGGCAGCTAGCGAGTTTTCCACTTGCTGATGTTTAGTAGCCATCTGATAAAACTTTGTCAGGCTCACATGGTCTTTACTTTAGAGCTCTTTCCATAGCTCCGTTTGTGACCTGATACCTACAATTAACAAAGTCCAAATTGATTCTTCGGGTGCATCCATGACCTTTGGTTGCTTATTTTGGAACCTCATCAGATACGAGGTCAGTGTTTCGTCTCTCTCCTGAAGAATATTGCTCAGATAGCTGAGCGGCATTGCAAATTGTCTCCTTGCTTGGAATTGTTGTAGGTACAGTGAGGATAATTGTTGCCAAGAGCTAATTGAGTTCGCCTTAAGCCTTTTGTACCACCTCTTGGCATCCCCTACCAATGTAACCGGGAAGCAACGACACTTTGCCAAGTCACAGACCTGGTACAGTTCCATCAGGTTATTGAAAGTGTCGAGGTGGTCTCTGGGATCTCCTTTTCCATCGAACTTGCTTTTTGACGCCCTAAATCCTTGGGGAAGTGGGGCCTATAGCGAACTTACTTTGTGAAGGGAGAGCTCACTATCTCTTCTGCCACATTGTTTTGGAGGGCTCTTAGATCGTTGAACAATTTCTGCACCCGATCTGAGTCTTCGTTGTGGGGATTGCCCTGGCTAGCTCTGTTCAGCCTTACCTCAAGCAAGTGAGTTCGCAAATATGTTGCTTGTGAGCCCCTCCATTATGCGCATGGATGCGTGATGTTGAGTCATGATGGTTGGGTTGGTAGGTGCTATGATGATCATTAGTGCGTTGCTTGCGGACATTGGTTATAATCAGAATGTCAGTCATTAACGGATTGGCACACAGGACTCGTCTCGCAAGCTTGCGAGGTCTGAGCTTGCCTTGGGTGTGGTTTAAAACCGGCATCCTCATGTTGTGGGTATTGTCGAGTAGGTCAAGTGTCCCGTGGGCGACCATTGCCTTCATTTTCCCCCATTGGTTGTTTTCCTGGTCACCTCTCGGGGTTAGTTTGCCTGCATAACTCACATTCATGAGCGGAATGTACCCTCTATTGTTGGGGATGTCGGTCATCCCTTGGTGTCGATGAACCAGATTGGTCGCTGACTAAATTCTAACCTGTTGGGGTAACATCTATGAAGCGTGGCTGGTCAAGATCTTGGGGGGTTGGTTGCAGATTTCTTAGCTCAACCACGTTATGTTGCACCGCCTATGCAATCATTGTTCTGATCATATCCACCAATTGGTCGTTCTCGGGATTCGACGTCCCTACCGTTGGTTATTCGTAGCCTATTGTGCTAGCAGCACTAGTGGTTAATGCCCGATGGCGTCTTGATACACCTCCTAATGGGTGGTTTCCATGTTGTCATGGTTTCTGGTGGTGGTTTTTGATCATGTACGAACCATTGTGGGCCTTGAGTGATCAGGTCATGGGGATTGTTTGCTGGAAATTCTGAGATTTTGGCGAAGGCCCTCCTTCTAGCACCAAAATGTTGATGCAAAAAATACACCAATTAGAGCAATCTAATTGACCTTGACGGAATCGAAACGGATGTATGCGTGATTACAGATAACCAACAACGTATGAACGGAAAATGCAATAAAGTAAATGACACCATGAGTTTTTAAAGTGATTCGGCGAGATATACTCTTGAGCCTACGTCCACTATTTTTATATTTGCCGTGAGAGCTTACAATGATAATCCTAGAATAATTTACTAACCTCTTTCTCATCATTGGATGGGGTTTATATACAGATTTTGTACAAAGGAAATAGCAAAAATAAAGAGATTACAATTAAAATTGAAATGTAACTCCGATATTCTCGCGATTAAGCGCTGAGATTGCGCCAAGATTGCTGTCAATCTGATCCTTTTCGAGATATCCGGGATCTGAAGTTATCTATGAGTTGGTTGAACAACTGTTGGGATTGGTCGCGACTAGTTTGTGCTAGGTCGAGCTATAACTCGACGAGCTTATGCTGGGTCGGACAATCGATTGAGTCAAACTGATTCTTGATCGAGCTATTACCTCGCAATTATCCAAGGTTGATGGAAAAATCACACACAACAAATGGCTACCCTTATTAGCAATCGAGGAGAGATTCGAACTCAAGATCTCTTGAGTAATATACCCAAGAGTCCCCATCGAATCACTTGGTCACCCAAAGGTAGTTTTAACTTGCAAACTTATGTAGTCTTTATTATAGCTAGATAACAAATTATGAACCAAACTTAATTAGTATATGTTTCAAAATTTAAAATTAAATATTATAATCAAGCAATTGTAAACACCCAATTAATTATTAAACTAAGTACTAAGCTCTGGGCATGCTAACTTTTCCAAAACCCTTTAACAGCCAGAAATACATGCAAACTTATGGTTTCTTTTTTTTTTTTTCTTTTACCAGGCCAACTTGTACGTATCTCAACAAATCTCTTAGGGTCCTGAAGTTGATAACGGGGTAAATCCCCTTTATGGTCACCTCTATTAGCAACCCAGATGGATCAAACTCAAGACTTCTTTAGTAATGTACCTAAGAGTCTTAGCAGTCAACTAGGACTATTCAGTGTATTACTCAAAAGATATTGAATTCGATCTACTTGAGTTGCTAATAGAGTGGTCACTAAAAGGATTTATCTGACTATCAACTTCAGGGTCCCAATGGATTAGTTGAGATACGCACAAGCTATTCCAGAAACCGCTGCAAAAAAAAAAAAAAAAAAAAAAAAAAAAAGTAGCTAACCCAGCTTTAAACCCATAAATTTTGAGTATCGTGGCAACATATTATTTGTCACTAAAATGAACCTAAAACCACTTAGCCAAGGCAATCCTGCAAGGACATCCACAATCTTTCACAAGTGGGGGCCCAGCAAATATGCGTAGTGAAGTAGAGATAAGGTGGTAAACGAAGCCGTAGCAAAGGTTTGTGAAACGACAGCCATGGCCACTTCGTCGCTGATCTCATCATCGCTTCTGCCCACAGAACCTCTAAAACTTCATCGCCGAAATCACCAACTTTCGCTTTTCATCAATCATAACAGGGTTGAGACCACCTCCAAGAAGCGACCCTCCTTCACGGTCCGAGCTGCAAAGCCTCCTGCTGGGGTATGTCGTATGTTTGCTCATTGCATTATTATTCTTAATTTAGTTTTGAAACTAAGTGGAGGTTCAAAATTTAGGTGGAATTGCCGAAAGTGCAGCCAAAATTCCAAGCCCCTTTTCTTGGATTTACCAGGACTGCAGAGATATGGAATTCTAGAGCCTGTATGATTGGCCTTATTGGAACTTTCATTGTAGAATTGGTGAGCTATTATCATTGTGTCCTGAGTATGTCATTCGAACATTTTGTATTTGAAATAGTTCCTTAAAACTTTATGGGGTTTTCTTGATTTTGCAGATATTGAACAAAGGAATTCTTCAGGTTATTGGGGTCGAAATTGGAAAAGGTCTTAACCTCCCTCTATGAAGCTCTAATCCGGGTATATATACGTGAATGCAACTTACGTTACAGAATTGAGATCCAATTTTATAACTTTCATTTGTAATTTTCATGTAATTTTTCATTTTTTTTTAAATTGTACCACTATGCAATGGTGTACACATCCAGTAATTGTGATCTATACAAAATGTCCTGCAGCGGTTTTCGTTTTTCAATTGCAATTGCAGTTCTCTTCAATGCATAGTTTAAGATTCCCCGTTGATTACCCTCAATTGACTTGTGACGGGCTAAGAGCTTAGAATTTGCTTCACTTGCTATTACAAGAATAAAACAATGCTAATTTATTCATCACGAAATTCAGCCAGACAGTTTATACAGTAACTCTACATTGAAATACTTTTCGTGCATATTACGAGTTTCAGCAGCCTCTAGTTAATACAAGAAGATTACAGACGGCAAAACTGAGAAATGCCACTGGGTTTGCATCTCTTCACATTATTTTTACATAAATAATGTAGTAGACCATGCGCAGAATGCATGCCACAATATGTGAAGATTATGCTCTTACAGTTATTTTGAGGCGACATTCATATTGCCTTGCAATCTACAAAGTATAACTAGGGTTATCTAACAGCTACTGAAACTGGAAAAAGATGATTACATGGCCCGGCTAGTTCGAGCATCTATAACCATCACTTTGTTAGATGGCTCTGAATTCAGGGCCTCAGCCAGTGACATGCGGCGGTTTCTCCATGTAGCTTCTGCCCACCTTTTCGTTCTCTCCCCTTCATCCTTTCTGTTCTGCTGAACACATAGCGCTTCTGCATATCCACCTACACAACCAACCAGCTGGATAAATGCCGAAATCATTATGCATGTGTGCTATGAGACTGTCATAATTGGATCCCTAAGAACAATTTGCCTTTCCAAAGGCATCAAAGAATCATACAAGTTGAAAACACACAAGACATGCATCAAATGTTTAAGGTATCTTTAAAAAAGGAAAAAAAAAAAAAAAAAAAACACCCAGTAATAACGAAGTGATTGCAACATCATGACACAGCAAAATGCTCGACTTTTAAATTGTATAACATTCAATAAGTATGAGAAGTGAATGTCAGGCCAACATTTCTGTCACATGATAGGCAGAAATAACTCATGAGAACCAATTCAAATTAGGACCACTTCCATCACTGAGTCATGATCCCTCCATAAGAATATACGAGTATGCAAGAAGAAAAGCAATACGATTTTCAAGTATACCTCTTGCAAGGGCCATTATATCTCTTCCATCCACTTTTGTCTCAGAACCTGTACAACCAAACAGGCAAAACAGAATCATTCCTGAATAGCATTGGGAATAGGCAAAATGCTAAGACTCTGGCTATACCTTCAGAATCCAATGGTGGAGCTTTCAGAAGTTCTATCGCCCTTCTATAAAGCCCCTGTAAAGGATATATTGTTAAAACTTTACAATAACATAATTACCAATACAAATTGCAACGATGACATAACCAATGACAAGTGATAAGAAAATTTCACAGGTAATAAGAAGTCCAAACAGAGTTTAATTAAAACATACATAAGGTTTACCCAACAATTGAAAGGACAGTACAACAGGCTAAAACTTATGTTTGCACAATTTTTTCTTTTCTAGTCAAAAAGATCTATGACCTTATCCTAACAGGATCTATACAACAAATCATCCTCGCCCATGGTAGTTTTTTGAGGATCTAGTACATTCCTGATCTACAACTTTGAGATCAATTTAACCAGAGGAAAAAGAAATAAACTATTATGGCTAATATCAAGAATCAATATGAATGGAAGACACCTCTAGAACCAATTTTTCTTGATATGAAATAAAAATGATGGTCATGTGAATTCTAACCTCTTGTACCAAAAGAGAACTTGACCGCTCTTGAATTGCTTTATTCCGAAACATGAGAGCCAAGCAGGTCAAGACAACACCAACTTTTGGGTGGTGGGAGCCTACAGGAAGTCAATAAAACCAAAGGGAAGAATTGGTATATAATCCACAATATTCATTCTACAAAACCAGCTAAAAGAAATATGAACATAAGTGATTAACAAAGCACATCCAAGGCAACAAACCAAAAAGTTCCTCTGTTTTAGTTAAAGCCCTTGTCAATATCTCCTCAGCATCACCAAAGTTCCTGAATTAAGGTTAGGGACGGTTGGCATCAGAAGACAATATTATTGAAGGTAAACAGTGATTTAAGGCACTAGCCAAGGATTCTAAGTCTTACCCCATGTGTCCCTCAAGCTGTCCTAGACCAAACGTAGCTGCCAAGGAAACTTCCTCCAAAGCCATATTACATGATCCCAAGGCATTTGTATCACTAAAGTCTTTTTTTTCACTCAACACTTCAATCACATTCTGGTAGAACTCCTTAGCCAGTGGAAAGTTCCGTGTGACATGCAAATATTCTCCGTATGATAAAGCAGCACTGCCTATATATAACAACTTCAATATAACGAACAACCATGATTCCCATAACGACTAGTAAAAGCAATGAACCTCACCAGTATAACCCACATTCTCCTGAAATCCTCTGAAGAAAGATTCAGCTGTTCCCCAATAAGCCAAATTCAATAATAAAACAAATCAACATGACAACAACAAAAAAATGAAAGAATGAAAACTCACAAGAGCTTCAGCAGTACCTGATTCAACATTCCCGTGGACAAGCTCAATCAGCCCTTTTACTGCCTTAGCACGAGATCTAACAGCTGCATAATCACCTCCATCACTCTCTGGTTTGCATTTTCCCAGAACTTCTAAGCATTTATCTGCGACCACTGACGAAGTATCATCCTATATAAGGAGAATCATCTCCAGATAAATCTTAAATTCTAAACAGATTACTAATAGAAATAAAAAACACTAGTTTAACTATTTGTTGAAATCACTACTTACTTGCCCCAACTGTAAATGGAGTCCAACAAGGGCTTCCACCGCAGCAACTACAATAAATGCACAAAACACAATTTTTAATCAATACCCTTTCCCTAAATAAGAGTTTAAACATAACAACTTTGAAACATAAATCTAATTTCCTCATAGACAGAACTGCACCTCTTACTCCCAGAGAAGATTGTTTTAAATTTTCAACTTTCTGCAGCCTGTCTATTGCCTCCATTAAATTCCCTCTACAATAAAATTCAAATTACAAGCTCAGAGATATTGAAGGGCCGAACAATGAAATAAATATTTAAAAAAAAAAAAAAAAGAACCTTTCATATAATAAAGTAGACATAGCGAGTAACGCAGTTCCCCTCCAATTTTGAGCGCACTGGCCTTCCCTTGGCTGAGTAGAGAAGCACTGCTCGAGTACTAGCAAACCTTGTGCGTACGATTCATCTACATATGCATAACACGTGTCACCACTTACAAAAAAAATAAAAGAAAGAAATTTGATTAAAAATGGGAAAAGTTTTGGGCTGAATTGATAGGAAATTTTAAATACTAACCTGATTTCTGAGACCTGGCATGAGAGAGAGCGTAATTGATCATCTGAAAAACAACTGGATTTGAATTTGGGCCGTTGACGTTGGTTCCATCATGAAGTAATCTCGACGGTGGTGATGCCGCAGAGAGTAGGAAATGTCCATGGGAGGAGGCTCCTGGCAACCGAATGCTTCGGGAGAGGGTAGTCGCTGATCTTGACAACTTAATTGCGGTGCGAATCATTGCTGATTTGATTATCACTGTTCGTTTCGTTCAAAACCCTAACAAAATGGAAGGGTTTTAGAGATTTAGAGATGCTGATTTGGTTAAGGGTTCTTCTGAGAGTTAAACGACATGTGTCCACCCAAAAAAGTTCCATTAGACAGTTTCCCACCCTCGAACTTTTAAAACACCCCTTACTACCCAAATAATATGTTTACCTCTGATTTGGGTGGGAAATATAGTCATTTACGAAAAAGCCCTCTTCCATTGCTTCTCTTCTTAGCCTCTTCCCTTGCCAGCAATTGCCGCCGATGTTGGGATCATCGATGACCATAAAATATTATAAATAAACATTCCTCAATTGTCTTTCAACCCAACAAACATAAAAATCGAATGAATAAATCCTAATTAATCCAATTAAAACTCGAAAAACCCCAAGGTAGGGGAGCTTCAGTCGTTGACGATTGGTGAGCAAACGGGATATAGGATGTTGGGGCTTTTGGAGAGGAAGATCCAAGGAATCAATTGGTGGTAGCAGGGACAATTTTCGACACCGAAAATGATCGAAAATCAGCTTGAAAGTCGAAAGGTCGCACGGTGCACGGTCGACCATCGGCAAGCAAGGGACAATGATGGAGATAAGGGTTTTGTAGAGTGGGTTGTGGGGAGTGTGATGGTGGTGTCTAGGGGAATTTATGGCAAAGAAATGGACTAGAAAATGGAGGCGATTGGTTTTGTAGAGTTGGCCATGCGAATGGAGGTGGTGGTGGGAAATGGTGAGTGATGACGATAAATGGAGGTTGGGGCTTTGTAGAGGAGGTGATGAGGATTCTATGAGTGGTCTCAGAAGTGATTTTAAACACCAAAATTGGTCCAAAAATGGCAAAAACTGTCGATTGTAACGCTACTAACATGCACCATCTCTTGCTAACATGCGTTGTTCTTCTTCTCCGATAGTCAATGTTTGTTGACCATTCTGCCCTCATTAATAATAGACTTTTGACTATTTTGCCCTTTCTGACAACAAAAATTACTAACAAAATTATGTTTTGGGTATTGAAATGGTATTTAAAAAGTGGGTGGGTATGAATTTGTCAATGGGCTATTTTTTGGGTAGAAACATGTCGTTAACTCTTATTCTGATAAGCTAAAGTTTTCTACCAGTTTCCAGTAAACGACATCGTCTAGTGAATCAAATGCCATGCAACTTTTAAATTTACACATCATCGTTTCAACTTTTATGTATTTTGTCTCCTACAAAGCAAAAAGAGTATAAGCTTCAACATATTTGTAATTAAATTAAAAATTAAAATTTGTTATTAAATGGTTCTTTTATTAACTTTGTTTCTCTTCTTTGTGGAAATATATATTTATGATTAATTAAAGTTATTATTGGAAATTATAGATTTTGAAATTAATACAAGTAGAAGAAGGATGATAAAATGCTCCAATTATATTAAAAGTTACAACATCTATTCTTAAAAAAGTAATACTACAACTACAATTTTTTTATATAAATTTTCTTTTACAAACTTAAATGACAAAAGATGATTAGGTAAAAGCTTATTTTAAATTTAAAATCACCCAATCATCTTTTGTCATATAAGTTTATGAGAGAAGGTTTATATAAAAAAATTGTGAGTGTAATATTATTGCTCTTAAAAAAGTTCATTAAATAAATAAATCAATAAAAAATTAATTTGAAATCTTTGATATTCACTGATGGGTTCCCAATCCTCCATCAATTTAACGGCAAGGATGTAAAGCAAAATGACAAGTTGAAAACAACAAGAGGATCTAACATGATCTCCGAGTTCGAGTCCTTTTTGTAGTAAAAAAAACAAGAGAATAATCTAACATGATCTTTCGAGTTCGAGTTTCCACGATTGCTAATATGGGTGATCATTTGAGCTCTTATCTACTAATAGTTTTAAGGTTCCAGAGGATTAGGTAAGGTCTACGCAACCTGGTTTTAAAAAAAAAAAAAAAAGGACAAGTTGTGATATAATAAAATATTAAGCAGCTATGATGAAAGTGGGCTTCCTGGGTTCCTGTTCAAATCTTTTTAACTTAACTAACCTGCTTTATCAATCCCAAACATGCATCCCAATTCTATTGACGTCTGCTTCTTATACACAAAAGATGAAGAGCTTACGCAGCTTTGTATAACAAAGTAAGATGCATAATTATGTCTCATCAATTCCCTTAAACCTTTCTCTTTACCAATGATTCTTCTTAATCATATTCTATCAATTTGCCATTACTTTTATTTTAAAAATATATTATCAATTCCTGAACCGTCCAATCTAAAAGAATCAATGTCATGTTTATCTACGTATAGCTTTACTTTGTTCTAGTTTCATATCAGATGATGTTAGACTTCATAGATTAAAAAAATGGAGCTATTTCTAGTTTAGGTACACATATTCTCCTAGATTAAAGAAGCCCCCGGTTGGAAGAAATGCATATACGCCCCATTGTTGCAAAAGTAAAAGTAGTTCAGAGACACTAATATAGTAGAGCAAGAAAGCTAAAGTCATCAACTGGGCACAGTCCTGATTACTAGTTATAAAAAGCTTCAAGTTTTATACTGTCTCTCACACAACTCACTACTGAATTCACAATAATCTTGAAACCATGTCAACTTCTTTAATTATCCTCCCTCTTCTCTTTTATCTGTTGGCCTTGTTCTCCTTTACAGGTTTTGTTATTAGTTTTCTTCCTGATTGTTAAGTTTAATTTTGTACTTTGTAATTGAATTACTGAGTTTTTGTTTTTATGTTACTGATGGTTGCAGATGGGACACAAATGATACTTGTGAACAACTGCCGTGAAAGGTTATGGCCCGGAATACTAGGCGGTGCCGGTCAGCCCACTCCTAATGATGGTGGTTTCAAACTTGACAGTGGCGAGGAAGTAGTTCTTGATTTGCCTGAAAAGTGGTCTGGGAGGATTTGGGGTAGGCAAGGATGTAACTTTGACAGTAATGGGAAAGGCTCATGTGACACTGGAGATTGCGCTAGCCAGCTTCATTGCCAAGGCGCTGGTGGTGTTCCCCCAGCAACTGTGGTTGAAATGACACTTGGTTCATCTTCTTCACCTTTGCATTTCTATGATGTGAGCTTAGTTGATGGCTTCAATTTACCTGTCTCAATGAAACCTGTTGGTGGTGGAATTGGGTGTGGCGTCGCGTCATGTGACGTTGATGTGAATATTTGCTGTCCATCAGCACTGGAAGTGAAAGTAAGAGACAAGGTGGTCGGGTGCAAAAGCGCCTGCTTGGCTATGCAATCGGCTAAGTATTGTTGCACAGGCGAATACGCAAACCCAAAGACCTGCAAGCCAACACTTTTTGCTAATCTGTTTAAGGCTATTTGCCCAAAGGCCTATAGTTATGCATTTGATGACTCTTCCAGCCTTAATAAATGCAGGGCTTCACGGTATGTCATCACTTTCTGCCCTCCCAAATGAGAAATGACACAAGGGAAATAAGGGTGCGGTTATGGCTCCACAAGGAAGTCAAAAGACATAAGGCATTACATTAGTGATGGAACGTCCCAGTAATTTTTAGTTGATTTATGTACTGTTTTCAGTTTCTTTTTTCTTTTTCATTCATGGATGATAGAATTTTGAAGATCTTTCAGTAACAGATGGAGGGTGAATTAAGGAAATGGATAATACTAGTTTTTTCTCTTTTGGGCATCCTTGTTGATTGTGCACACACAGTAATTCAGTTTTCATCAAGACTAAAGTGACATAAAGCAAGATTTACATATTATGCACCAATCAGATTAGCCTCATATGAACAGTTCGAATTTTGAAATCAAATTCTGTGTTCCTGTCTTATAGTAACATCTCCAATGAAATACATATAGAGGCAAACATGCATGCCAAAGTGGGATGACTTGTTTTAATTCCAATAGCTGTCATTTGAAGATTAATTTAGTACAGAATGAGAATGATGTCCAAAATACGACGGATATGCAAGAAGTTCCCCTTTTCGACTCAACACAAATGCCAACAACACTCAAGAACAAGAACCAAATAAAGATCTCTAGATAAGCACCAGAATACTTAAAAAGGCAACGAGAGAAAGCTACTCTCCATGAAGTGTCCAAACACCAGAAGCAGAGTCGCTAAACACTTCAATTTGACAATTCACCTTCTAAAACAGAGATATTATATATCAAAAAACCAGATTAAACAGGGAGAAAGCTCCAAGTGTTGTCCTTTAAAGAAATCCTTAGTTGAGAGAATAGCAAAGATACCTTTAGCTAACAAACAAGAGACTGATCACGGGTAACAAAAGCACTAAGCTACAAATACTTAACTGGTGACCATATATCAGAAATAGGACGAATTAACAATCTTAAGAGAGAAAAAATGGGTTCAAACTCAGATGAGACGATCATAGAAAATGAGGATGCTCCCACTTACGCTCCATCTATACCTGTACCTAATGTTCAAGAAATGGTGAGGAAGGAACCTGCAAAGATTCCTGACAGATACATAAGAAATGATGAAGACAACCCCCCGATCACTGATATGTCTCATCTTTCTTCCGAGATTCCTGTCATCAACTTGTCACTTCTCTCGACAGGTGAAACGGAGGAGTTGAATAAACTGGATTTTGCTTGCAAAGAGTGGGGATTCTTTCAGGTATATTAGAAATAACTAAGTTGATCTTCTTCTGACCCTGCCACCTTTTAACATTGAAAACTCTTCGCAGGTGGTGAATCATAGAATAGCAAAAGAAGTGTTGCAGAATATGAAGGATGCTACAGCTGAGTTTTTTGAGCTTCCATTAGAAGAGAAGAACAAGTATGAAATGCCCCCAGATGACATACAAGGATACGGACATGCATATGTGGTCTCCGAAGAGCAAAAACTAGACTGGTCAGATGCATTGATTCTGCTTGTTCACCCTTCTCATTATCGAAAACTCAAGCTCTGGCCAAGCACACCAAAGGGATATAGGTACCCTTTTCTATCTAGTTGAGCAAAGTAATCAAATGATTTCTGTCCATTATTTGAAATGTTTCTTTGATGCAGAGAGATTATCAATGCGTATACAAAGGGAGTTCAAAAGGTTGGAGAGCAGCTTCTCCGCGCATTTTCTACTATCATGGGGATGGACAAAGATGGACTTCTTGCACTGCACAAAAATTTGTTGCAAGCTCTACGAATAAACTATTATCCAGCATGCTGCAGGCCAGACCAAGTACTAGGAATAAGTCCACACTCAGACACAAGTTCCATAACCATTCTTATGCAAGAAGCTGATATAAACGGGTTACAGATCAGGCACAATGGTGGTTGGGTACAGGTTAAACCAGTTCCAGATGCTCTAGTGGTTAATGTTGGAGATGTTATTGAGGTACTGGACTTCTAACTTAGCAATTTTGTTTAGGTCAAACTCCAATAGAGTATAATAGAAATGGGAATTTAACCTTTTTATCTCCATTTTGGAATGACAGATTTTGAGTAATGGGAAGTATAAGAGCATTGAGCACAGAGCTGTGACAAACCAGAACAATTCAAGAATTTCTTATGCTTCATTTCTCATCCCTCAGGATGATGTGGAGATCGAGCCGTTAGCTCATCTAGTGGGTTCTCAAAGGTTGATGTACAAGCAAGTGGTGTATGGAGAATACGCAAGGAGCTCCATGCAGAGAAAAATGGAAGGGAAGGCACACACTGAGATAGCAAAGATTGAAACTTGACTGATATTTCTAAATTTCAGGATCCCCCCACAAAGGCTGATATTGCCTCCTCGTGCTTGTGCCAATCTGCATCAACTCTATCTGAACTACTTTGTCACTGTAAAAGATCTAAAAGTGTAACTTCATTCTTCAGTGTTCCGACCCAAATTTAATGCAATGCTCTTACTCCTAAATTTACTTTTTTTTTCGTTCTTTTTTTTCTTTGAAATTCAATTCAGAACAAAAATGGGAGAAAATTACCAGCAAAAATCAACATCGTAAGTTTCACCTGACACAATTTCTGCTACACATTGTTCATCAACCACTAAACCTCAAATTGAAGTTAATTCAAGTTCCATTAGCAACAGAAGACCAAATTTTCAGTCCAGAAAATCACATTCAATGTACATTAGAAATCTAGAATCCAGCCAAAGAAAAGAAAAATGAATCTCTGGCTTTTCCCAGAAACAAAACCCAGCGAAGAAAGTAAGCCCAAGGAAAACACAGTCAATGGAAAATATAAAAAGAAAAAAGGGAAAAGAAAATCAAAACTCAATTTACCAGTGCTCCATTGTGAACCTTTCATTTGGCTGAAAGCTTTTCACAAGTCACAACCAAGTTGATGACCTGATCAAATTCCAACAGCAATGAGGATGACGAACTTGCTCCCAAGAGTGATGCAAGAAGTCCTTTGACTTGTACACAAATGTCAAACTACATACTAATCAAAAGAATTGAAGGAATATTTCTAGATAAATTCCAAATTACTAAATTAAGGCAACGTGTCAGGTTTTTTCCAGAATACATTATGCACCTATCAAATCACGTTCTGGAAGGATCCATAGTTAGGGCTGCAGTTAGATTTGGCTGAATGCTTCCAGTATGAATGCCAAGTTGATAACCTGTCAAATTCTAATAGCTTTCATTTGAAGATTAATTAGTACAGAATGAGAGTGATATCCAAAATACGACGGATATGCAAGAAGTTCTCCTTTTGGACTTAACATAAATGCCAACAACACGCAATAAGAAGGAACAAATGAAGATTTCAGGAGAAGCTCCTTAATGATAAATCAAGGGCTCCTGGAACGTCCAAACAACTAAGCAGAGTTAACAAGACAGTTCCATTTGACAACTTCACCTCGTGAAACAAAGATATTATATATCTAGAATCCAAATTAAACAGGAAGAAAGTTCCAAATGTTCTACTTTACAGGAATCCAGAGTTGAGGGAATATCAAAGATCCCTTAAGCTAACAAATAAGAGTCTGATCACCAGTAACTAATGCACTGCGCTATAAATGCTTGGGTAAATACAAGTTTCTCCAGACAAAATTTCTGCTTTCATCAACAACTAAACCTCTTATGTCAAATGAAAGTTAATCCAAGTTCCATTAGCAACAGGCAAAATTTTCAGTCCAGAAAATCGCATTCAATGACATAAGAAATCTAGAATCGAAGCAAAGTAAAAAAAGATGATAACTGTTGGAAATTAAAATTAGAAGCCCATAGAAACAAGTCTCAGGCTTCTGATTTCAAAAGAGATGAACTTATGCAGAGAAGCAATAACTTTGTTTATAAAATTCTCGTACATAAGCCATATAACATTGTTACATTTATACCCTTTTTATATGTTTTTAAAGGGATAACATTAAACAACTGCACTTAACTGATTGAAACATGCAGTTAATGGAAATTTCAAATTCATAAAAAAACTGAAAATGACAGTTTTTCAACAGTTGTCATGCAGGTCATGCGGCGGCATAATTTCTTCAATGCCGCGGCATCTTCTTCTCTGGAATTTCTTCGTGCCTTCAAGACTCTTCATGCCAAACTTGCAGCCAATCTTGCTGCCTTGCTGCCAATCTTCATTTTCTACCAAAAAGATTCATTCTTCAACAATAACTCTGGCTTTTCCCAAAAGCAAAATCCAGGGAAAAAAGAAAGCCCAAAGGAAAACACTGTCAATGGAAAATATAAAAAAGGGAAAAGAAAATCAAATGTTAACTAAACAGTTTGCACAGGACAAGCAAATCCTCCTTTCTTTTGCGTTTTTCTTATCAAAGAGAAACAAATCCATGGACTAGCTTGGTAAGTATCGAACTGCCTGCACTCATTACATTACAGCTTTATCAAGGGGATTTGTCTATCAAAATCAGCTGCCTCACCAGTTGAGGAGACGCTCTTTAAAAAATGATATTTCATATCAGTTATTCCAGAGGGAGTCTACGAATTGCCTTTATTTCGTGGTTGCTTCTTTTTTCAGCTTCTTCACCTAATTTACCAATCCCATCTGAACCTTTCATTTTCTAAAGGGATCATGTCCCGAGGCTCCAGTTAGATGTGGCTGAATGCTTGTCTCAACCAAGTTGATGACCTGATCAAATTCCAACAGCACTGAGAATGACGAACAGACAACCAAGGGTGATGCAAGAAGTCTTTTTACTTGTACACATATGTCAAACTACACACTAATCACAAGAATCAAAGGGATAATTCTAGATAAATTCGAAAATACTAAATTAAGGCAACATACAAAGCTTTTTTACTTGGACAATGAGTTAGCATGGTTGCAGGACACTCCACTGAGACAATTCACCAAGTAAAACAAAGATACAGTGTATCCAAAAACCAGATTAAGCAGGAAGAAAGTTCCAAATAATCTACCTTAAAAGAATCCTTAGTTGAGGGAATAGCAAAGATTCCTTTGGCTAACATCCAAGAGCTTTGTCACGGGTCACCATAGCACTGGCTATATGTACTTAAGATCATCTGCTGGCAGTTCAATATGCAAGTAAGAGAACCAACAATCTAATAGAAAAAACATGGGTTCAAACTCTGATGAGATCATCACAGAAAATATGGATGCCCCCACGTATGCACCATCTCTGCCGGTACCAAATGTTCAGGAAATGGTGAGGAAGGAACCTTTGCAGGTTCCTGGAAGATACATAAGAAACCAAGAAGAAAGACTCCAAATGGACGATATGTCTCATCTTTCTTCCCCGATTCCTGTCATTGATTTGTCACTGCTCTCAACAGGAGACGTGGAGGAGCTGAACAAACTGGATCTTGCTTGCAAAGAGTGGGGCTTCTTTCAGGTATATAAGAAATACAAAGTTGATCTGACAATCCATACCACCTTGCCATTTGATCCCATCAAAGACTACATTGAATCCCTTAAACTTTTTGCAGGTGGTGAATCATGGAGTGGCGAAAGAAGTGTTGCAAAATATGAAAGATGCTGCAGCGGAGTTTTTCGCGCTTCCATTAGAAGAGAGGAAAAAATATAAAGTGGCCTCCAATGACATACAAGGATACGGGCAAGCGTATGTAGTCTCCGAAGATCAGATACTGGACTGGTCAGATGCACTGATGCTAATTGTTTATCCTTCTCACTATCGGAAGCTCAACTTCTGGCCACGCACACCCAAGGGATTTAAGTAAGTCTATTCATTCAAGTACATATAATTAATGGTCATCTCATAACTAAAATGTTGCATTAATGCAGAGAGATAATTGAATCATTTTCCAATGGAGTCAAAGAAGTTGGAGAGGAGCTCCTGCGTTCATTTTCTAGAATCATGGGTATGGATAAGGATGCTCTTCTAGGCCTGCACAAACAAGGGGCACAGGGAATGCGTGTGAATTATTATCCCACGTGCAGTAGGCGAGACCTAGTTCTGGGGTTAAGTCCACACTCGGACTCAAGCACCATAACAATTCTTATGCAAGAAGATGATACAGAAGGGTTGCAGATCAAGCACAATGAAGAATGGGTTCCAGTTAAACCCGTTCAAGATGCTCTAGTGGTAAACGTTGGAGATGTTATTGAGGTACTCAGCCACTAACTTGGCAAGTTTGAGTTAGTCAAAATTCACTGAAACTAACTTTCTCTCCTCCACATTGTAATAACAGATTTGGAGTAATGGGAAGTACAAGAGTGTTGAACACAGAGCAGTGACAAACCAGAAGAAAGCAAGAATTTCTTATGCATCATTTATCATTCATCAAAACGATGTCGAGATCGAGCAGTTAGATCATCAAGTGGGTTCTCAAAAGTTGATGTACCAGAAAGTCAGGTATGGAGATTATCTAAGGAGCTCCATGAAAAGAAAAATGGATGGAAAGGCACATACCGAGATGGCAAAGATTACAACTTAGTATGCATTCCTAAATCCCAACCTCAGAGAAGGGTTGATATCCAACCACAAAGCGGAATGTAATGCTAAAAAATGCCACTTCTTCATCCTCGTCCTGTTGCTCTGTTTCAACCCCAAATTTATAAATTCAGTGCTCTCTTTCTTAATTTTCGTGACCCCGAAATTGGATCTGTTGAGAAATTTAGAACCGTACGTAAAATACTTCACGAGCAACAAACCTACATTTCACGCTATACAGGGAAGTATGCGGTAGCCAATGAATAAGCATTTTCTAGCTCGGGGTTCAAATTGGAGCGGCCATGGTTTAGTGTAGACGCAAAACAGAGAAAACTGAATGTTTTGAGATGGGAATATAGGGTTTTTGGTTGTACAGTTTTTCAAAAGGTGATTGGTAGCAGATTAGGAGAGGGTGTTCGATTGACAAATAAATGGCAGTGATAACAAATTCTGTCCAATATCGCATAGGAAGTCCGATTGAAATTTTAAGGCTCTAGCTACGTTCAATATATGCTGATGTTTTTGCTCAGCGAGAGCGTTTTGTTGTGGAGTGGCAACATAGGTCAGTATGTGAATTGTGCCTTTGGAATTGTAAATTGGGCATATGAAATTCGGCACCGTTATCAGTTCTGATATTTTGATTTGGGTGTTGAATTGTGTGGATATAAGGGAAAAGAAATTTTGAATTGAAGTTCGGGCTTCTGATTTGTTTTGCAACAAATAGATCCAAGTGCATCTGGTAAACTGATCTACGATTGTAAGAAAATAACGGGTGCCATTATATGCTTGTGTGGAATTTGGTCCTCAAATATCTGCTGAAATTAAATCAAAAGGCTTGGTAACCGTGGTGATAGACTGAGGAAATTGAAGTTATGTTGCTTGGCAAGTGGACAAATTTCACAAGAGAATTGAGATAAACTTGAAGGCCTTGAATTTGATTTTTGAATTTCACTAATACATGCTGTGTCATGGAACTATGCCCCAGTCTGTAATGCCTAAAGTAATCGTCAAACTTTGAAGTACTGGTGGTGTTAACATAGCTTGAACAGAATTTAGAAAAAACATTGTAAAGCGTTGGGGCTGGTGTTGAAGGTTGAAGATGGTAAAGGCATTATGCATTGTCCCTATGCCAGTCGTCTTCCAAGATGAAAGGTCCTGTATGTAGCAAGAGTTGGAAAAAAATATGAGACAACAATTTGAATGTAGTAGATGTAGTTAAGATTTAGTAGAGCAATTTAAAGGAGAAGGTTGGTACGCATAGCACATGCTTGAGAACGATATGATCAGAGAGATGAATACACACATGTGTGGCCAATGGGTGGTGCCATTTGGAAGTTTAATGGTGTGGGAAACAAAAGACACGTTATGCGTGAAAAGATGGGGGCTCCAGTATCAATTACCAAGAGGAAAATGATTTTGTGAAAGTGTGTGATGTGTGTGTGAAATGGCAGGAATGAATACCAGAGACGGGTGAAATTTGGTGGTTGAGGAACTGGAACATGCATGGTTTGCTGCGAGGAAACTGCTGGAGACTGAGAGGATTGGAGCAAGGCGATGAGCTGGTTGTACTGCTCTTGAGTAATAGATGGTCCATTGCCGATTTGTTCATGTTCAAGTGAAGATTGATTAGCGTAGGATTAGATCTGGAGTTGTTTCTGTGACCTGGAGGAAAGCCATTCAGCTTGTAGCATTTATTTGGTAGGCCGGTATGTTGCAATGTGTGCATACGGGAAGATTGGGGTTGGTTTGAAGCATCGTTCCAGTGAATGGCCTGAAATGTTGCAGTGGGAACAGAATAATCGATCCTTGTGGGAGGAAGAATGACTTCGTTGGTTGGGTCCTTTTGCGCCCATTGCAATCGGAGCAGAAGGGGAGTGAAGTTGGCGTCGTCTTTCTTCCTGTTGGACAAGAGATAGAACACGATTCAGTGCTGGAAGAGGATCATAGAGGAGTATTTGGGCGCGAATAGCATCAAAGGAGTCATGTAATCCCATAAGGAATGGCATAACCCTGCTTGTGATTATATTCCATCAGGGTCTTGACTGCGCCACATGAACATGACGGCATCGGTTCATAATCTCCAGTTTATCCCAGAAACTTTTCAATCGGTTGTAATACTAGCTAACTGAATCATCATCCTGTGTAAGTGTCGAGATGGACTTGGTGAGCTGAAAAATTCTTGGAGCATTTTGAATCGAGAATCGCTCGCGAAGATGTTCCAAACATCCTCAGCAGTTTCGACATGAGCTATGATGTTCTGTGTTCTAAGGCAACCGAATGTTGAATCCAAGCTATCACCATATCATTACATCGTTCCAAGGTGCATACAAGGGATCTGCAGTTTTTGAGGGTTTAGGGATGGAGCCATCGACAAAACCCATTTTGTTTTTGCTCGCATTGTTCTTGCCCAGACCACATAATTTTCAGTTGTAAGCAAATCTGGAACCAATGGAGAAGACCGCTTTCACCAGGTTGGACAAAATAGGGGCTGGCAGGATTGTGTGGTTGGTTTGGGATTGGAAGGCATTGTGGGATGTTGGTTTAAGAGCCGAAAGGTGTATCTGTCATGGCTCTGATACCATGTTGAGAGTTGCGTGAAAACAGTATAAAGAAAATGGAAACTGCAGAAAGCTGAAAATGGAAACTGCAGAAAGCTGAAAATGGAATGACACAAATTGTATTTCTTTTCTTCATGTTTTGTATACATCAGTGGCATGCAGATATTTACAGATAAAAAAAGAATAACAATAGCTAGCAAACATATAAAAGAGAAAGGAATAATAACAGTGGCAAATATAACAAATTGGACTCAACAAATGCAACAGAATGGCCTCATCGTCTTCACGTGACTGCTGCGTTTTTATCAGGGGAACCGTGGCTATTGTAGGTCCAATGCATCCTCTAATCTTAACTAATTTATGGACGGCCGTCCCAAAGTTTTTTTTTTTTTATTTTCAAAATTTGTTTATGGACGGGCGTCCTTTAAATAGGGACGCCCGTCCCTTTTATATGGACGGGCGTCCATGTGAGTGAATGGCCGTCCAAATTTGATGGACGGCCGTTCACTAGAAAAAATTATAAAAAAAATGAGAGGTGTGTTACACGTAGGCCGGTACACGATTTCGGTGTAATTTTTTCGGTGTCCGTAGCATTATTCTTTGTATACAGTGGCATGCAGATATTTATAGATAAGAAAAGAATAACAATAGCTAGCAAACATATAACAGATAAAGGAATAATAACAGCTGGCAAATATATAACAAATTGGACTTAACAAATGCAACAGAATGGCCTCATCGTCTTCACGTGACTGCTGCGTTTTTATCAGGTGGAACCGTGGCTATTATAGGTCCAACTGCATCCTCTAATCTTAACATCCCTCTGCAAGATGGAGAGTATATATTCAGTACTTCCATCTTGGACAATAGTCGCGTGAGTGTCGGAGCATGCAGAGGCTTGGTAAAGAGATCAGCTAACTGCTCAGAAGAAGAAACGTGGGTAGTGGCAACATTCCCAGCCAGGACGTTGTCACGAACAAGATGGCAGTCCAGCTCGATGTGTTTGGTGCGCTCGTGGAACACGGGGTTGGCAGCGATATGTATAGCGGCTAAGTTGTCACAATATAAGATGGCTGGATTAGAAATGGTAACACAAAGGTCTTTGAGAAAAAACCAAAGCCATGTGATTTCACACACGACAGCCGCCATGGCCCTATATTCCGACTCGGCTGAGGATCGTGAAACTGTGTTCTGCTTTTTCGATTTCCAGGCAACAAGAGACTGGCCAATAAACACACAAAAATCAATCGTTGATCTCCTAGTGTCAAGACAATTTGCCCAGTTTGCATCAGAGTAGGCAGTCAGTTTCAATGAGGAGGTGGTAGGAAAAAATAAACATTGGCGTGGGGTCCCTTTTAGATACCGAAGAACTTTGAGAAAGGCATTATAATGGGGTACTCGTGGGGTCTCCAAGAAATGACTCAGAAAATTGACACTGTAACTGAGGTCAGGCCGTGTATTGGTCAGGTAGAGGAGCTTGCCAACCAATTTTCGATACTGAGTAGGATCGTGAAACACCTCACCTTGGTCTTTCTGGAGTTTGATATTCGGTTCCATTGGCAAAGGGGAAGTTCAGGCAGCAAGTAAACCAGTCTCAGAAAGTATATCCAGGGTGTACTTGCGCTGACAAATTTGTATTCCATCCTTTGAGCGAGCTATTTCCATGCCAAGAAAATAGTTGAGTGAGCCCAGGTTCTTGATTATGAATTTGGTGGACAAAAATTTCTTGACCTCATCAGTGGAAGTCTGATCTGAACTCATGACAATAATGTCATCTACGTAGACCAATAGAGTTGTGAAAGAAGAAGCCGTGTGTTTGATGAACAAACTATAGTCTGACTTAGACTGCACAAAGCCAAACTTGGCCAACGAAGATGAAAGTTTTGTGTTCCATTGTCGTGATGCCTGTCGAAGACCATAAATGCTTTTTCTCAATTTACAGACTTGATTCTCTTTTGAGGAAGCTAGACCGGGAGGAAGCCGCATGTATAATTCTTCATCAAGGTCTCCGTATAGAAATGCATTATTAATGTCCAACTGTTGCAAATCCCATCCTTTTATGGCAGCTACAGCAAGCAAAGTGCGAATGAAAATCATCTTTGCAACAGGAGAAAAAGTGTCATGAAAATCTATTCCTTCACGTTGAGTGAAGCCTTTCGCCATCAAGCATGCTTTAGCACGTTCAACAGATCCATCAGCTTTGAATTTGTAGCGAAAAATCCATTTGCAATCAATCGGTTTCTTGCCAAGAGGTAAGTCAACGATGGACCATGTTTCATTAGTCTCTAAAGCAGTGAGTTCCTGCTCCATCGCCTCACGCCAAATAGGGTCTTTGAGAGCTTGAATGTGTGACTTGGGTTCGGTATGGATGGAGATGGAAGTGGTAAATGCTCTAAATGATGGAGATAAAAACTTGTAAGATATGACAGATGATAAGGGATATGGATTATGCAAACCCGTGCGAGACGGAGATCCAGTGGCTTCCAACTTGGAGTTCGACGTCAATGGAGACAATGCATTGCAGTGAAAATCCTTGAGATATGTCGGGGCGGTTCGAATTCTGGTTGATCGATGTGGGGTTGGCGAGGGAGTGTTGTTGGTGAGGTTGGTAATGTGACTGTTGTCGATGGAGGTAGGGGAAGGGACATGATCATCCTGGTGAGGGACTTCACCAAAATATGTGTGTACAGGAGGTGTTTGATTGAGGTGGTCAGTGGGGAAAGGAGACAAATGGGTTTGTGTTTGTTTGAGAGGAAAGATGTGTTCGTGGAATACCACATCACGGGAAAGGAAAATCTGATTGGTGGTAGTGTCAAGGAGCTTGTATCCTTTGACTCCATATGGGTAGCCAATGAATAAGCATTTTCTAGCTCGGGGTTCAAATTTGGAGCGGCCATGGTTTAGTGTAGACGCAAAACAGAGAAAACTGAATGTTTTGAGATGGGAATATATGGGTTTTTGGTTGTACAGTTTTTCAAAAGGTGATTGGTAGTGCAGATTAGGAGAGGGTGTTCGATTGATCAAATAAATGGCAGTGATAACAAATTCTGTCCAATATCGCATAGGAAGTCCTGATTGAAATTTTAAGGCTCTAGCTACGTTCAATATATGCTGATGTTTTTGCTCAGCGAGAGCGTTTTGTTGTGGAGTGGCAACATAGGTCAGTATGTGAATTGTGCCTTTGGAATTGTAAAATTTGGGCATATGAAATTCGGCACCGTTATCAGTTCTGATTATTTTGATTTGGGTGTTGAATTGTGTGGATATAAGGGAAAAGAAATTTTGAATTGAAGTTCGGGCTTCTGATTTGTTTTGCAACAAATAGATCCAAGTGCATCTGGTAAACTGATCTACGATTGTAAGAAAATAACGGGTGCCATTATATGCTTGTGTGGAATTTGGTCCTCAAATATCTGCTGAAATTAAATCAAAAGGCTTGGTAACCGTGGTGATAGACTGAGGAAATTGAAGTTTATGTTGCTTGGCAAGTGGACAAATTTCACAAGAGAATTGAGATAAACTTGAAGGCCTTGAATTTGATTTTTGAATTTCACTTAATACATGCTGTGTCATGGAACTATGCCCCAGTCTGTAATGCCATAAAGTGTAATCGTCAAACTTTGAAGTACTGGTGGTGTTAACATAGCTTGAACAGAATTTAGAAAAAACATTTGTAAAGCGTTGGGAGCTGGTGTTGAAGGTTGAAGATGGTAAAGGCCATTATGCATTGTCCCTATGCCAGTCGTCTTCCAAGATGAAAGGTCCTGTATGTAGCAAGAGTTGGAAAAAAATATGAGACAACAATTTGAATGTGTAGTTAAAGATTTAGCTGAGAGCAATTTAAAGGAGAAGGTTGGTACGCATAGCACATGCTTGAGAACGATATGATCAGAGAGATGAATATCACCCACATGTGTGGCCAATGTGGTGGTGCCATTTGGAAGTTTAATGGTGTGGGAAACAAAAGACACGTTATGCGTGAAAAGATGGGGGCTCCAGTATCAATTATCCAAGAGGAAAATGATTTTGTGAAAGTGTGTGATGTGTGTGTGAAATGGCAGGAATGAATACCAGAGACGGGTGAAATTTTGGTGGTTGAGGAACTGGAACATGCATGGTTTGCTGCAGAGGAAACTGCTGGAGACTGAGAGGATTGGAGCAAGGCGATGAGCTGGTTGTACTGCTCTTGAGTAATAGATGGTCCATTGCCGATTTGTTCATGTTCAAGTGAAGATTGATTAGCGTAGGATTTAGATCTGGAGTTGTTTCTGTGACCTGGAGGAAAGCCATTCAGCTTGTAGCATTTATCTTTGGTATGGCCTGGTATGTTGCAATGTGTGCATACGGGAAGATTGGGGTTGGCTTTGAAGCATCGTTCCAGTGAATGGCCTGAAATGTTGCAGTGGGAACAGAATAATCGATCCTTGTGGGAGGAAGAATGACTTCGTTGGTTGGGTCCTTTTGCCGCCATTGCAATCGGAGCAGAAGGGGAGTGAAGTTGGCGTCGTCTTTCTTCCTGTTGGACAAGAGATAGAACACGATTCAGTGCTGGAAGAGGATCATAGAGGAGTATTTGGGCGCGAATAGCATCAAAGGAGTCATGTAATCCCATAAGGAATGGCATAACCCTGCTTCTGTGATTATATTCCATCAGGGTCTTGACTGCGCCACATGAACATGACGGCATCGGTTCATAAATCTCCAGTTTATCCCAGAAACTTTTCAATCGGTTGTAATACTAGCTAACTGAATCATCATCCTGTGTAAGTGTCGAGATGGACTTGGTGAGCTGAAAAATTCTTGGAGCATTTTGAATCGAGAATCGCTCGCGAAGATCGTTCCAAACATCCTCAGCAGTTTCGACATGAGCTATGATGTTCTGTGTTCTAAGGCAACCGAATGTTGAATCCAAGCTATCACCATATCATTACATCGTTCCCAAGGTGCATACAAGGGATCTGCAGTTTTTGAGGGTTTAGGGATGGAGCCATCGACAAAACCCATTTTGTTTTTGCTCGCATTGTTCTTGCCCAGACCACATAATTTTCAGTTGTAAGCAAATCTGGAACCAATGGAGAAGACGCGCTTTCACCAGGTTGGACAAAATAGGGGCTGGCAGGATTGTGTGGGTTGGTTTGGGAATTGGAAGGCATTGTGGGATGTTGGTTTAAGAGCCGAAAGGTGTATCTGTCATGGCTCTGATACCATGTTGAGAGTTGCGTGAAAACAGTATAAAGAAAATGGAAACTGCAGAAAGCTGAAAATGGAAACTGCAGAAAGCTGAAAATGGAATGACACAAATTGTATTTCTTTTCTTCATGTTTTGTATACAGTGGCATGCAGATATTTACAGATAAAAAAAGAATAACAATAGCTAGCAAACATATAACAGAGAAAGGAATAATAACAGCTGGCAAATATATAACAAATTGGACTCAACAAATGCAACAGAATGGCCTCATCGTCTTCACGTGACTGCTGCGTTTTTATCAGGTGGAACCGTGGCTATTGTAGGTCCAACTGCATCCTCTAATCTTAACATTGTTGCAAAATATGAAAGATGCTGCAGCGGAGTTTTTCGCGCTTCCATTAGAAGAGAGGAAAAAATATAAAGTGGCCTCCAATGACATACAAGGATACGGGCAAGCGAATGTAGTCTCCGAAGATCAGATACTGGACTGGTCAGATGCACTGATGCTAATTGTTTATCCTTCTCACTATCGGAAGCTCAACTTCTGGCCACGCACACCCAAGGGATTTAAGTAAGTCTATTCATTCAAGTACATATAATTAATGGTCATCTCATAACTAAAATGTTGCATTAATGCAGAGAGATAATTGAATCATTTTCCAATGGAGTCAAAGAAGTTGGAGAGGAGCTCCTGCGTTCATTTTCTAGAATCATGGGTATGGATAAGGATGCTCTTCTAGGCCTGCACAAACAAGGGGCACAGGGAATGCGTGTGAATTATTATCCCACGTGCAGTAGGCGAGACCTAGTTCTGGGGTTAAGTCCACACTCGGACTCAAGCACCATAACAATTCTTATGCAAGAAGATGATACAGAAGGGTTGCAGATCAAGCACAATGAAGAATGGGTTCCAGTTAAACCCGTTCAAGATGCTCTAGTGGTAAACGTTGGAGATGTTATTGAGGTACTCAGCCACTAACTTGGCAAGTTTGAGTTAGTCAAAATTCACTGAAACTAACTTTCTCTCCTCCACATTGTAATAACAGATTTGGAGTAATGGGAAGTACAAGAGTGTTGAACACAGAGCAGTGACAAACCAGAAGAAAGCAAGAATTTCTTATGCATCATTTATCATTCATCAAAACGATGTCGAGATCGAGCAGTTAGATCATCAAGTGGGTTCTCAAAAGTTGATGTACCAGAAAGTCAGGTATGGAGATTATCTAAGGAGCTCCATGAAAAGAAAAATGGATGGAAAGGCACATACCGAGATGGCAAAGATTACAACTTAGTATGCATTCCTAAATCCCAACCTCAGAGAAGGGTTGATATCCAACCACAAAGTGGAATGTAACGCTCAAAAATGCCACTTCTTCATCTTCGTCCTGTTGCTCTGTTTCAACCCCAAATTTATAAGTACAGTGCTCTCTTTCTTAATTTTCGTGACCCAGAAGTTGGATCTGTTGAGAAATTTAGAACCGTACGTAAAATACTTCACGAGCAACAAACCTACATTTCACGCTATACAGGGAAGCATAAAATTTGGACCCTTGAGCTAAATAGAATACAATTCCATCGCCAAAGGGAGGTCTTTTTTAATCACCCAACACTACCTCCAACATAACCATGATGTGCGATAAAAAGATTGCCAAGACAATAAAGAAACAAAATTTATCATATACTGACAGTTAGCTAACGATTTTTTTTCTTGGTTTCTTTGAAAACAAAAAACAAAAAATGTACATTTATTTTATAACAATACAACTGCCTGAGCTACATTACGGTTTTATCAATGGAAAATCATCTATCGACCAGAATCTGCTTCACCGCTTGGGGGTCCTTGATTATTTGCTGCTTCACCAGTTGAGGGTCCTTGATTATTTGTAGCCGATGAAGGACCCACTCCTAACAGCAGGGGAGCTTCCTTCTTTTTGGTACTGGACTTAGTATTGGCATCAGAATTTGCAGCCCAAGCTCTAAGGGGAGGCTCAAAATGCTGACTGGCAACATCAGGTGGAGGAGCATCTTCCCCAGGAAGAACAAGAAGTCCCTTCTCTCGAAGAGAAGATGGTTCCCTGTAGCAGGTATTCCAGAGGGAGTCTATAAGCTGCCTTTCCTCCCTAGCAGCACCTAGATCTTCGGCTGACATTAAGCTGATGCCTTTAATCCGATCTTCGAGCAGTTGCTTTAATTTCTCATCTTCTTCACCCAGTTTACCAGTGCTCCCATCTGGCTTCTCACGAGCAAGCTCAAGAAGGCCCCGAAGAGCAGCTTCACGTGTATCTCCATCTTCACTGGAGGCAAGGTGCATCATTATGCGGGGAAATCCTAGCTCACTTACCACATTGCAATCTGAACTATTCTCATGCAGCAGATACTGAATCAAGTTCAGAGCTTTCCTGGAAATGATTAATTTTGTTAGAAAACTAAGTCAACAAGCTAACTTGATAAATAACAAATAGCAGTCAGCCATATGAGCATGTCAACTATTTTTCAAGTAGACTTCAGTTAATCTGCCATCTCAGTTCTTCTAAGTTACAAACCCCTCTAAATTCAAACTACAGAAATTATTTCAAAGTGAAAAAGAAACAAGCCCAAACTTCTCCAAGAATTACCTTTGAAACCTAACATTCTCAGATCCCAAAGCATCTCTCAAGCCAGCATAACCATTCGCAAGACGAAAAGCCGTAATACCAGGCTTGTTGTGCCGGATTAAAGCTGAAAAGCCAACCAAACAAATATCAGATCAAAATCCTATCAAGCCACGGATGACAGGGCAGAAACTAATACAAAATATCTGATAATAATGAAAATTACCCAAAGAGATTATTGAACAAGAACTTTACTTACAGGATATGGCACCAAGTGCTTTGGTTCGAACAGTCATATCAGGGTCCGATGTAAAATTAGAGAGAAGAGGTTCTAATCCATTTGCTTCTATAACCAGTTGTTGACTTCGTGGATTGTTCTGCACAATGGTGGTAACCACGTCTGCAGCTTTTGCTCGAATGTTGGCATGTGAGTTCTTTAAATAACTCAGGAGAGGAGTTAACCCACCAATTGAATTAAGATCTGTCTCATAATCAGAAATGATTAGTACTATTTCCGTAAAGCATTAAAGGAACAAAATTACTGAGCAACTCCACAGAAGGCTAGACCAATATATGATAAACAAGTCAGAAAAAGGAGGGGGAGGAGGTAAAAATGTGAGACACCAAAAATTCATTTATTTAGAGTAACTTCAGTCTTTATCTATATCTCATTTCCATGCTTGATTCTTTAAGGTGAATATTGTTATATAACAAATTCAAAAGCATTACATCTGACTTCCAAACCGTGTACAAAAAGAATTCAAACAGAATCACCCTTGCAAAATGATCATAGTGGAAGCAAAATCCATAAACCATAAAAGACAAGGGAATGTGCGCACTTAGTGTAAAGTGAATTATATCACAAAATTCCAAATATCTCTGAAATAGCTTTATTCAAAACCAATCCAGCCAGTGTTTGATCCAATTTTTTCCTTTTCAGATATCAAAAAATTGATTTAAAACTTTTGTTTCTGCTCAAAAGTCCGTTTGGCAATTGTGTTTTTCTTTTGAGATAATAATACTCACAAATATCCAACTAAAAACCTAAAATCGAACTAATATAACCCCACTAAAGAGTTAAGAGAGTAACGTTAGAAACAAACATATATAGCTACTACTATTCAAACAACCAAAAATGTAGCTTTTACAGGCAACAAATACTTTATTCATATAATTTGCTGTTTGCTTCTAGAAAAGTACTAATAATGTAATATATCCAACTACAATGGATACATTTCCTGTCATAGGAAAATGCAACTTCCCTAAGTGATAAAAGATACTTCATATTGGCCTAGGCGTGCACATAACTACGAGTAATTTGGATATAGCATTGGATTGACAATTGTAACAATTGAAATGCAAACCCAAAATTCAAAATATAACCCTACTCATAAAATAGCATAAGCACATACCATTAGCCATGTCAATGGACTCCACATGCTCTTGTAGTTCATCCAACAAATCTGCGACCATATACATTACCATTAGCCATGTCAATACATAAACATTTAATTAAACTAAGAAAACTTAAAAAATAATAATAATAGATACTATGAAATTACCTTCAATATCTTTCGGAGTAACTCCTTGAGCCTCCAAAACTTGCTCAGGAGTTTGCATGACAAGAGTTATCTCTTTCATGCGCTGAATTACATCCACGGTCTGCGCTTGCATCGCTTCCATAAACCATCTTCGATCTTCGTCACTAACCGACATAAACCAATCCATTAATTAACCTTAATTTAAGGTCCATAAACCAAAAGCACTTCAAATAATAAAAGAACTGTAGTTGGTACCTCAAATTGCGTTGTGAACGAGTGCCGTCAGAGTTCGCGATGCTCCACTTAAGTAATCCGTCCCAATTGGGTCCGTTATTGGCCATTTTTTTCCAAATAAAACCCTAGTTTAACCCTATTAATAAACCAGCAGAATCGTGTGTGTTAATACAAAATTTCATAATGAAGTTCAGAATGGGAGAGACTCTTCGATATAAATAGCACTATAGCGGCACGTACCGACAAGCTGGGGATAGTGGAGAGTGGAGACGATTCCAGACACTGCCAGACACCATAGTTTTATATGGACCAGTCTGACTTAAGCCCAATATTTTAATGGGCCAGAAGTTGAGCCCATAAAAATAAATGCCTATACAAGACTTTAATAAATAAAAGAAAAATAATGAAATTAACCATATCTTGAGGTGTAAGCGAAAATAATCACCTCTTCATTGTTTACCAAAATACCCTTCATATGTCGGTCTTATACTTCCCTCCTTACAGCACATCTTCTTCTAGATGTATGTATTTGTATATATCTAAAGAATGGGAGAAGATGAAGCATTTCTAGAAGAAGATGTTAATACAATCTCTTATTGTATTTTATTAACACTATTAGACGAAAATTGCTTATTAATTAGATAAAATCCAATCTTGTATACATATAGTTAATTTGATGCATAAATCATGAATCACATGATACTTAAAAAGGAATTAATTCAAATCAACTCAGCTGATTAAATTTATTAATAAATAATAAGTTTTTAATTTTTTTTTTCAAACTTACTACTAAGGATTTTATACAACTATCTCCATATTTGACAACGGTTTGTGTTTGAAATAGTTTCGTGTCGTGTTAAATTTTCTTAAACTAAATCTAACCTATTAGCTTATCAAGTCTAAATGTAAAAACCTGAACCCCCACACAATTTTTAACATGTTACCCAAACCTAACCCGTTAAAGCTGTTACTAATTTTTTTTATTTTATCGAACATTGAAATATTATATTGTATAGACTAAAAATTGTATTGGGATTGACGAAATCTAATAACGAAATAAACATATTACAGCCCAAGGCCTTAACCCAATTTCGGTTGGACCTACGCTTAAATCTACCTTATGAAGTGTCCATTCTATGAGTTGGGCTACCCTATAAGTTAAGTTTAATCGGGTTCTAGCCCATTAACCCATAGCATTTCATAAAAAGGAAACAGGATCCTATTCGTTGTCCAAATCCACCAAGATCCTGAACCTACTAGAATTGGAAGATCCTAGTTTGATAAAGGTAAGCTAGTCTCAAGACTTCCTTCCTAATTAGAACTCTTATGCCAAATATGACTTAGAGTCTTACTAGAATTCCAACCTTCTTGGTTCACCATATAAACATGGGCAAATCTTCTCATTATTCATTTAGAAATACCCCATAGCACCTAGCTCTCAAAGTTCTTGCTCCCAAGAATTGTTACATTATTCCGGTAATCCTCTTCGCTCTCAGCCCTCACTAAAATACCTTCAACCTTGCTAACTTGAGCGTTAGAGTACTTACGGTAGACACCACACCGATGTCACCTGGTGTCTACCCAAGGCTTCACACTCTGTGCAGGTCCATCAAATTGTTAGTGGCTCATTCTTCCTTCTGAATCAACTGTAGATTTTACCGTCTGCATATATCATTGAGCTCTTATAGATAATTTTATATTACAACTAAACTATGTACATAAATGAGTAATGCTACAGACACCGAAATTTTGCACTGAATGATGTGTCACGTAGCATATTAACAAATATTCCGTGAATGAACGGTCATCCATCAAATATGGACGACCGTTCGTGATTATTGGACGACCGTTCATTTTAAATGGACTCCCGTCCATGTAATATGGATGAGAGTCCATTTACTATGGACAGGCGTCCACCTAGAATGG